ACACTTTACACTCCCTACTCAACACTCCACCCTCTACATTTTTTAGGCTCCACACACTAAATTCAATACTTAACATGTTTTACATTCCTTACTCCACACTTTACCCTCCACATTCTACACTTTTTTGCACTCCACACTCTACACGCTTTTTACATTCCACGCATTCTACACTGTACACTTCACACTCCGCACTCCATACTTTACACTCTACACTTTACACTCTACATCCCGCACTCCACACACTTCACACTCCACACTCTACACTTTACACTCCACACTTTACACCCCACACTTCACACGTCAGACTCCACACCCTGCGCTTTACGCTCCTCGCCTCACACTTACACACCCCACACCTCACACTGCAGTCCACACTTTGCACTCGGTTCTTTACGCAGTTTACACTCTGCACTCCACACTTTACACTCTACACTCTACACACAACACTCCCACGCTATACTTTGCACTCCACACCCGACGCTCACATACTCCACACACTTTTAAGTATGGTGCACTAAACAAGATATTCAATTAAACTGCTTCACCTTTGTCCATTAACATACGTGTGAGCATTCGGGTTCGTGGGCTGCATTTTTTCAAGATGTAAACATCCTAGAACAAGCGCAATTCGACAGCACAAATCTACAGGGTTATGATGGGTACCTACCATAAATTTGCTACGTGAAGGTCTCCTACGATCAGCCAAGGAAGGCAACTGGGAATTGGTGATTCAAGCTTTTCGAATTGCTTCGTCCTTTTGCAAAGGCACCAACTACTACCCTGCTACCACCAAGATTTACCACACAGTACCGGCCATGCCCTGAATTTATCGGGCTCTTGATTTCTGCTTTGAGCATTTCTAGCTCAAATAAATTACATGCTCCCTTTTTCTCAGAAAGATATGATTGCTGGATGACCCAATGGTGTTTCAAAAGGCTTTAGACTAAGGGTTTCGGTTTAGGTACCATGGTCATATTAAACTCTGGGGGGATGGGTGCGTCTTGCCAATCTAACTTAGTATGCTCTCCTCTCTGCATACTGCGCCTATACAATGCCTTTGCAAAAGCACAACTGGTGAGACAGGACACCACCACCACCACAACAACAACAGCAGCAGCAACAGCAACAGAGCCAGCAGGCGACATTCTGGGCAGCAACAGCAACCCTTGGGGCATCGCCGGTGTGCGAAGCCCTGCAATATATTGAATATTTGTCTAAGACTTTGCGCTGGGTCATGTCGACAATCCTCCTAGCGGGCGACCCAGCGGACACTCGTAGATGATGTGTGTTGTACAGACCTGCGAGTGACAAAGGCGCCGGATTCTCATGCATAGAATGTTCTTCCGGCCAGCGTGATTCATGTACAGAATGTCTTTTCGTAGTCACGTGCCACGTCGACGCCACATTGAACGGCGTGTTGCATGTCTTTTGCCCTCTTTGCGATCATAAGTAGCTGTAGTCTGAGTGAGAGCCTCCCGATTTCTGGCCGGAGTGTGTCTCCCGGAAATCAAATTGAAGGGGATGCAGGTAACTGGGACCCTGAATTTTTGAGGTCGCGTCCGGACGTGCGGCCCCTGCTCGCAGGCATATCCGGGATCATAAGTTGACTGTGGATTTTCGTGATCCGGAGTTGATGATGTGATAGGGCTGTTCTTTCTTTGACCTCGGCTATTTGTGTCAGCCGGGATTGGGCAAATTTGTGTACTGTACAATCTGTATGGCTCACTGCATCCTTGGAACCGCTTCGCGCGGCTGGATGCGGTGGGCGGCCAGCACCATTGTCACCTGGGCCATTGGAACCGCTCAGCGCGGCGGCCTGGGTAGCACTACCTGGAGGGTGTGTTACCTGGCGCCGTTCTGTGGATTTTGATTCGTGATGTATAGAAAGGAGGTAGGCTTTTGGGACGCCCCTGTCTTCGCTTAGTCCCTTCTTGACAACCGTGCTTTATCATGTCAAGCTGGCCAGGCTTTTCGGAGCTTCGTGCCATTCCGATCCGGTCCGATCTAAGACTTTGCCCGCTCCATCCCGCTCCTTCGCGCAACTCGCGTGAAAAGTGCGAACATCTTCCTGCAACGCACGCTAACGACGCCTCGTAATTTGTGTAATATTTTCTACTTTCCAAACATATTTTGCGGCTAATCGACTCTTACTTTAGTGAACTCTGAAAAGGTTTGGCGAGGGATGATATGAACGGTCATCGTAATCATAACGCCTCACAAAAAGGATATTTAGACCTTTTAGATCTCTACCCTTGTAGTGCTACAAACACTCTTGGAATAAAGACACAAACGACTATAAACAGTGAAAGCAAACACGGCAAAATTGACTGTGCAAAAAAAACAGCGTTGATGTTCAATTGAATTCAACCAAGAGCAAAAAGGGAATAACACTTATATATTATAACAACTTAAAAACAAGAAACAACAACCGAACTCCCAACGAGAAGCTCCCCACAACGCCACAGCGTAGTTTGCCAATTAGAATTATCAGCGCAAAAAACTGCACTATGCTTTGTTTCGACAGGCCACAACTGGTTGCCGCGATTTGTTAGGGCGAGATACGACTTCAGGCAATGACCCAGTACGGGATAGCGGCCTTCTTCTTATGAGATGTTACAAAGTAAAAGCATGTAAAAGCTATATAAATTGTATAAGGTAAAAGCGTAAACAATTGGCAAGGGTTCATTAATTTTTTGCAGGACCATTCCTTGGGAATTCGTCCAATTCCATATTATGTATTTCAAGTCTCTCCATGTACTAAACCTGTGCGGCGGTAGTACCTTGATCTGCAGGCAGAAATTCAAACCGCCCTCTACGATTGCTACTTTACCTCTCTGTTCACAGCAAAAAACTTTGAATTCATGGAACCGAATCTCAAGCATCAAAATCAGCAAAACACTACTGCTCAAACATCATCAAACATCCTGTCGCTTCATTTTGCTCAGGCTGCGACGGATTTTGCAGAACTCCAAGAGGTGTGTCTCTAGGCACCGAAGACAGCGATGATTGTCCCATTATTCGTGCAATGCGAACAACCTGTTGGGCCACGGCTTCCCACATGTTTCATCCAAAATTTGGTCAAATCATGAGTGACACATAGTGACACCACATCCACCTCACCTCCCCTACAAAAAACGACAAAACAAATCTCCCTGAGAGGGCGTGGTGCCCAACCTCCCTTTCTCGCACTGGACTGCGAACCTCAGTCAATCATGGCAAACAAATCCATATTGGAAAGGTGGCATTGCGAGCACGCCATCTTGACAATGCTTCTCTCATCTTCTTTCTACACTTCCCCGGCTTCCCTGAGTTGGCCACAGTACGAAGATGGTCCCACTCCCAGTGATATGTCTGTGGAGACCTGGTTGTCCAATAGTTTCCAAGCAACTTTCGCAAAGAGAATCGCGAGAAAAGATAGAAAAAGAGAGAAAAAGAGCAAAGAAAAAGAGCAAAGACGCAGCTGCGATGCAATGAATTGGACTCAGCTTTTAAACGTTGAGCCGGAAGACCAGTACAGCTGCGTCTTTGACAGCGAAGGTGGTCGGGAGGATTCCTCGAAAGGGCGGCTGGTGCAAACGGAAGAATTTCGACAAATCAAACATATTCCAAGCTTATGAGGACTACACAATCTCTTCGCAGTTGAAACGAGTTGATTTCAAAGTTGGTTTGAAGTTTGCAACTCCAGAGATTCAGGCATCTGATCTCACGGACGGTGCTGAATACGAGGTTGCCAAGCGAGGTCCGGGACTTCCAGGCGGAACGCTTTGACCTCAAATCACTGATCCGGCGCAATGAAGTTGAACACTTCTTTCTATTGATATTTGCTATATGTAGTCTCCGTATCAATCAATCGATCGATCAATCAAATCAATCAATCAACCAATCAACGTATGTATATATATATATATGTAATATAATATATAATTATATAATATATAATAATATATATTATATATATGTGCATACATTCAAGAAGCGAATCACCTCGCAACAATGAAGCTGCAGCGTTGCTTGGGAAACATGAATGCATTCAGGCTTGCGAGCTCAAAACACAATCCGTGACTTTGCATCACTGTTTCTGGATGCTTCTGGACAGTGTACTGAATTGTTCTCAAGTCTGCTCCGTTCCCAGTACCCATGGTCTCAGCGCATGACCAGTGGGTGGCCTGGCTCAAATGTGAGCAACATGGGCAACTCTATCAAGGCCTTCGATTCGTGGAATGTCAGATCAGAAAATTCAGAATGCTCTTGCTCGATTTTGCTCGGCCTTTCGAATGCGCTCGTATACCCGAGTCCGTATATCCGCACTGGCCTGCAGCAGAGCTGCAACTGACAACTGCACACCGATGCAGAACTTGAGATGATCGGATATATCATGTGCAAATAATAATAATAATATATATATTATGTAATTATGTATATAATTTAATGTAGTATAGTATACATATATTCATATTTATTTATATACAAGTATAATCACGTATATTCAGTATCTGATATGCAACGCACAATCAGTGAACTCTGCCCAATGAAGCGTGCCTTTTCGGCTTCTTGTCATTTGGCAATCCTCCAGAGCCTAATTGTGCAAGCGTTGCACCAACCTCAAACAGCCCGTGGCTGCACTCTGGCAAACATGTTCAGTCTCTGAAAGCATCTGCAGACCATCGCATTTTTGGGTCCAGACTCCATAAGGAGTCAAACTTGCACAACTTTCGCCAACGACAGCCATCCTTAGAAGCAATAGGAGTATTTGCCAGCGATGTCTTTACACAAGTACCATGAGCGCATTTCTGAGCTCCCAGCAAAGCTCCAGCGCACCGTTCTTCTGATTTGACAGCTTGAGGGCCGCAATGCCAATGGGGAACTTATGTGAGCTTATCTGATTTATCTGGACATTGCTAACAAATACTGTCAAATACTAAGCAAGTAAGATCGCAGAAACCAGTCGATGCTTTCACCAGCTTTCGTGAACTTCGACGAAGACCCGTCGATGCTGTACTGATTTCCTACACCTACACCTACAATCACCTACACACCTGTCTGTGCACGCCAAATGATATTCAATTTTTGCCAGCCGTGCTGACTTTTAGCATCTTTTAGCATCTTTTAGCATCTTTTAGCCACATTTCTTGCAGACTCAGAATAACTTCATCTCAGAGCGCTCCATTTCTGCTCGTGGCATCAATTCACATCTGCTCAACGGCTGGGAATTCCCACTGGTCAGGGGACCCAACTGCGCAACCAGTTTGGCTCTGACTGGAACAAACTGCAAAGAGGCCGGTACGGAAAGTGAAACCATGTAAAGTGTGAAGCGGAGATTGGAAAAACATTGTTCATTTTGTTCGAATCGGGTTCTGGATGAGCTCTGGTCACACAAGAATCCCACAACATCTAAACAGATTTTGAGGCGCTGCTCTCAGAAGCATGTGGCTCCCAGTTTTGGCAAGTGCTAAGGCCTGCCGAACGCGGTGAACCTAAAAATCTTCAAACGGGGATGGGGCATCTCGTTATTTAGCACTTGCTATCCCTAGCCTACCCACTGAGCTTGCAGGCTAATCCACCAGCCCGACACAACCCATTGCAACACGTATGCTTTCCACAGGTCTCGTGCATCTGACCGCTTCCGCAAATGTGGAAGAGTTTGCTGGAAAACACAGAAATTCGATTCCACTGGCATTCCTCAGCGTGCTCCTGTACACGTCTATTCATACCAACATGGCGCACGCAACAAATATCCTGACTAGCAATGCAGTCCAAGACCGTTTCACGGTGGAGCGCAGAGTACCATAGGTCCTAAACATCCTAAACCTATGGGAATTCAATGGATCCTCTACACATCTTTACACCATTAGCACACATGCAGTTTCAGCCAAGCGCTTTACGGCTCGGCTGGAAGGAGTTCAAAAGTAAAGAAGAAAAAGAACAAAAAAAGAACAAAGATTTTGCTCTCTTTATGATTCTTTGTGATTCTTTGGCTTTGCTCTTTGGCCCAGGAGCCCGAGCTCACTTCCGAAATCTCCTCAGAAATGTGGGAAACAAATGAAAACAACTCCAAAACGGGCCTATGCCATCCTACAGTCCTCGGTAGAAACACCTAGAAACTTGCTCAGCAATCCGACAGGCTTGAGATTTGAGTTTGGGAATGGGCCATGAGAGTAACAAAGTCAAGTCTCCAGCTTGCAGAGACGCCATCTGCAGCAGTCATGGAGATCAAAAGACCAAAGTCATGAAGCTCGTGTCTTAGAATCACCTTAGGGGCCAGTTGCGCGCGTCTTCGCCAACTACCAAAGCTTGGTCCAAGAAGAATCTCAACATGTCCCAAAAGCACACTGTGAATCTCTGCAAATGTCTTCACAATATCATGCAATGCAATAAAAAGTCTGGTAAGTTCTTACACTGCCACTCCATCTGCAACAAGGTCACTGGACAAGAGCCGTTTAACTCGGTCCTCGTCTTTCCAGCACAGGCGTGATTCAAACACATGTTCAAACACTTGGCTCTCCAAATGCATACAAATGCTATGTCTGATGCACAGTGGAAACAACATCAAAATCGTTAAACAATTGCATCGAAGAAGCTGATCTATCCGCAGAAGACTGGAGTTCTCCCAGTAAGGATTGATGCGAAGGGCATTGTCAGGTCCAGAAACCGTTTGCCAGCCACTTCCCACCTTGGCTAGTTCAGCTAATTGCTTCAGTCACCGCACAGAGAAACCCCAAATCTTGAGAGCGTTGGAGGAGTTGAACCGAAACAAATTCAACTGGGCGACATTGAAGCTCTGCACGAAATCACTTGGTGTCCCGATCACCTCGAATGCGGGCTGCCATGATGCAAACATGGCCTCACCCACATTCCTGGTATGACATATGAAATATGCATTTCCATCCTTCAGTGTACTGAAGATGGGCTGCTGGGATTCTGATCAGGGCAACACATTGCCAGAAAGCGAGTGTCACAAAAGCTCATACAAACGTCGATGCCGGCACCTCCATTTCAATCTCATCATTGTTCTGCAAGATTCTGCGGCTCACATAGCCTGCAAAGCTCTTTTCTTGGGAAGTGGTCTTCGCACTTTTTGACTGTTCCTTTCCATTTTTCCGTTCGAAACTTTTCTAGACACTTTATTCGTGCCACTCGAACTTCTGACTTTTTTGCTGGAGGCTGGAGACTCATGATACAAACCACACAAGCTTTGTACATGCAGGCCAGAGTACACAGTGACACTACAGTCAGTTGAATCGCAGAACATTCAAAAAATGAAGCACATTACTTTCTTCATCTTTCTTCATAATGTTGCTCTAAGTGCAAGCAAGATTTGTGCCTGCACCATAGTTGATTGCAGAAGCTGCACAACCTCAAACCACTGGTATTTGTCCCAGAGCTGGTTCAGGACAAAAACATTGCAACATGCCTGTGCCAGTATCAATTTAACTCGAATCCAAACCAGAGGCAACAAGTGGAGGAAAACCAAGAGCAGAGTGAACTGTTGGTTGTGACTCTGGGAATTCTGATCTCATGAAAAGTGGAAGGGCGCAAGGCATGCGATGCTTCCAGATCCAAAGCAAACCCGCTATTCGGGTGCATCTATTTAGGTTATGTGTAGACTTCTGAAACTATCGCATAGGCTTCATAAGACCCTGCTCGACGGCTCAAAACATCAATTGACTGACTAAAATGCCAAGTGGCGCTTGACCCAGCCCACTTCCAATGACACAAGTAGAGCGTCCATGTCGCCAACAATTTCGAAGCAAGACCACATCCCGTTGAAGTCAGGCCTGTACTGAGGCCAGTTTCTACCTTCAACATGTTAAGATCGCACACTTATACAGCAACAAAGACGGTGTTTGAACAGGTCAAAGCGTGCTGAAACTTTAAAGCTTGACTGTCCGGCTCCTGCCGCTGCTCCTGGGAGCCAGCATTCGCTGAAGTGCAGCAACTGAAGCAATTCGACTCGCTGACGCCCAGGGAGACTGGATCAATGGCAGAAGCAAAGGTCAGCAATGCAAGGAAGTATGAAAGAGCAACACAAATGCACAATGAAATGCCCGACTCCAAAAAAACGAAAACACGATAATCGAATTCAATAGATGCATCCAAAGGCATCATGATATGAAACATAGAGTGACATAGAGAATAATGATGCGTCAGGAACCTTCGGGACACAAGCTGTTCCAACATGTTCCAACTCTGAGAGTGGCATTTCTGCTGAGGCCTTCATGCCCACCTTCTGCAGCGGCAGAACAGACCCCTGCAGAGATTCGACAGATTTTGGATTTTGACGGTCCATTGTAAAAGTGTAATCAGCTGCCCAGAAAGGACTGGAATGATACCAAGTTAATCAAAAAGAACACGAGTGGGAAAGATGAATCGAACACCAATCTTTTCATACTTTGGTACAAAAGAAACCAATAACACAAGTGTTACAAATATGTTCAGACTCCGACTGGTCAACAATTCTGATATGACCAGCGATATGACCAGCGTGACCTACCACGAGCACAGTGGTGGCAAATGAAGGCCTCTGGCCGCACAACCTTTTGCTTTGGTCGCGGCTTCAACGACGGGCTTGCCATCTGCGGTGAGACCTGCAACAATGTGAAAGAACACGGTAAACGGAACAACATGAACTGCATGAACTGGAAATGGCATGGGGCTTTGAAAAAGTTTTACATCCGAACTGGTGGCTGAATCTTGCCCAAATGTCTCCATTCTAAGGCTAGAATTGCTTACACCAACAAGTCACAAATACACAATACCACGCACGCACATCGGAGTGGTGAGAGCAAGTTGTTCCTAGAATTTCCAGAGCACAGGAATCGAGCCCCACAAAGTTTTAAGTTTTCTTTACAGCTGGTCTCAGTGTCTGGCCACAGGTACAGTGTTTGAAAGGTCTTCGAGCGAGTCCTGATCACATGAGATTGATGTCTGCTAGGCCTTGTTTCGATGCTTCAAAACTCGTCAAAATAGTGTGTGCGTGTGTGCGTCCAAAGCATGGTGTGCCTCAACTGAAAGCTCAGCATCTTTGGAGTTCGTGGGATGGGTGCAAGCAGCCCCCATTTTGCTAGCGAAACGCGTGGAAACAAGAGGAATGCAAAAACATCTTAGAACTGGTATAAACTAACGTTGCATAATGTAGCTGATGCAAATAATCCGTCGTTTGCCTTGTACCAGAAGCAGAATTGCGCGTTGTCTTTCTTTCATGCAGTCTTCATTAGCCCTAACATTTACTTTGGATTGGGCATCCAATTATCTTTTGATCGTTCTTGTGTCTTCTACTGTGCACCTGCTTGAGGTTGCAGAAGCTGCGCAATTGCTTCTTCAAGAGCAGCATATGAATCTGCTCAACCGTCCAAAAAAGTATACATATCGCAAAAAAAAAAACTTCACTATGACGACTGGCCTGATGAAGCGGTGCTTTCTGGGCCAAGTCGACGAGCAGTCAAGATAGTCAAGGCTTAAATTGATATGCATTGATCAATGGAGATCTTGAAGGATCTTGAATGGATAAAACATGATAAAACTATTTCAAAGCACAGAAAAGATTCGCCATGGATAAATTGCAAACAAATCCTATCCATCCCAAACCCTTTGCTATCTTTGCTTGGGAATCCATGGCTGCAAAATAGATTCGTGCCACCCAGCTTTGCTTAAGACAAAATCCGGGCTGATAGAGATCCGAACACCTGACATCAGTGGAGTATCATACTTCAAGAATCTTCAAGACTTCAAGATACTCCGTTGAAAGTTTGCTTGGTCAACACTTCAACCATCGTGGCATTGGTGCCAATTCTGGAGCCTAAATGCCAACCTGGAAGGTCAAGGCTTTCCGTTTCAATGTCATGAAGTGAGGAGAGGGATACCGAGCGATATGTTGCCGGTGGCTTTCATGTCTGGGGTGATCGTCTTACCGGTTTCCCAGGATTCCAACGTGACAGATCCAAAGGTTCCGTGCTCAGGAACTTACATGCAACATCATAATACTATGCTGTCTGCAGTGAGTGCAGCAAAACACGGACAGCAATCACACTTATCTGATTTATCTCTTATGTCATTATGAAGGTGCATTGAACAAAAACAGCCAGTCATTGCACCGACTTCGAGCTTTTGAACCCCGGCATTTCCAAAGAATGCTTGCCCCACGCCAGGATAGAGCCTCCAGGTAAGCCCATTTGCAAAAGTTCATTGATGCGTCTGTCAAGTTTTGACTTGCCTGAACATTTGTTGCCATTGAGCATCTCGTTGTCTGGCAGCTTCTTTCAATGTTGCAACTTCCTGATCTCTTTGCATGTAGTGCATGAGAGATATTCAATACAAACACCATTACTGCATGCAATCTGCAGTCAATAGCTCCTCTTCCAGGACAAAGCATGCGTCTTGTCCTTGCTGCATAACCAGCCGCAATCATAGTCGTTTACAACATATGTAAGGCCTTAAGGCGCTATGTTGAAAACTGTAAACGTTCAATGTCCCACCTTGCTGGATCTTCTCGGCTAGCTGCCTCAAAGCAGCGACGAGGATGTAAATTTCAAAACCACTATGCCACTATGCCTCTCCGGAGGCACTGCATATCATTGTCACTGAAGATACCATAAACGCCATAAATATGTGACAAATGGAATCCTGCCCCCCCTCCACTTGCAGCCGGAGCTCCTCTCACGCTCTTCCCCCCGCCGAGCTGAATGTATTTCATCATGGTAGCTTGCACTTTTTGCCTTGCAATCTTGCACAGCAATCTGAATAGCACCACATGCCAATGAAGCTGCTGGTCGTGACTGGCCTCCAATGCTTGTTGAGCCTCCACCAGTACCTAGGCTTGAAGAGAACTGATCGTTGCAGCTTTCCTCGAGTATCTGGATGCAGAAGTCTCTTCACAAAGGTGAAGGAGGCCGTTGAGAAAACAACTTCTTCAGAAGAAACTCTCAATCTCTGTGCCTGCAGATTGCTGCGACATGCTGGGACACTCTGGCATTTTGGATCATTTTGGCGTGAGCATGGCGTGAGTAGCATGGGGTTGGGGCAGGCTTTCTTAGCCACGTAATTATTCCAGGATCTTTTAAGCCACATTTTTTTGTATTAGCCACGAAAACAAACTTAGCTGCGTAAGAGTGTTAACCACGTACTGTGGCGTAATGGATCTATTTTGTCTTATTTCGGTACATCTTGAATTTAGTTTCCTTTTTCTTGCTTGAAAAAAAATAATGAATTATAACAGAAGAAGTTTTGTTTTCAAGGAATATGTAAAATTAATTTTCAAAGCTAAGATTTTGATTGTTCGTGGCTAAACCTATTTACGTGGCAACAAAAAAACTTTTCAGGGCCACAGATTTCTCTTTTCGGGGCTAAAAATCGGTCCCATGGGGTTGGAGGTCAACTGCCCTTGAAGCCCGGTGCAACCAGTAGCACCTCTGCCTCCTCTGACAAAAGGTGCTGACGAAGCTGCTTCACCTCTTGTGCCTCTAAGCGAACGAAACATCACATATTTGCATATCTCAATAACAGAAGATTAAAATTGATGAAGTACATGCAATCATTATCAATATGAGAATATGTTAGAGTATGATGAAGTGTCGCGGTATCGTGTAGTACAAACTTGTACACAGTTCGGGTGCAAGAGAATGAAACATGTTTGATGCAAACAGCTGCTTCCAACACAAATGTTAAGTGAACAGCATCTTAGTCATAGCTGAATTCAGAAACCTGCAAACTATGCAAACTTGGAGACAGCAAGAAACTGAAAGCCGGGAAAGGCTGATAACTCAAACGACAGCGGAAAGAAATGCAGAAAGCAGAGCAAAAATGAGCAAATTTGGCAAAATACACAACGCATGGTTGATGCATGGTGCTCAGGGCTTTTAGCCTTTTCAGCAATCCCAGCATTTCCTGGATTTTTTTTTCGTGAGTGTGTGTTGCGTGGTATTCCATGCAGCGACCCAGCCAATTTTCAGTTTGCTAGCATCACTTTCAAGTTGCATTTTATGTGCAGGTGGCAGAGGTTCTAGAGTCTAGAGAAAGAAACGTGACTGCTGTCCAATGTAATACGTCTCCGCCGAAAATCTGCAATTTGTTTCCAGCTTTGATTCAGAACAAGCGGCATCCACTAAACACTGCTGAAAAGGACAAGTAATTGTTTGACTGCATTATTGCTGAACGCATTACATTTGCCGCAAGTGCAGCCTTGGTATGAATATCCTGCAGTTAATCATTAAATGAGAATCATATTAATCAAACAATATCCAGCAAGTTGTGCATCCAGAACGGAGTGACTGTTGCTGGATGCAATTTCTGACAACTATGCGACGATGTTGATTATGCTTTTGAAAAATAGAACGCATGGATGTACAGAAGGTCAGAAGGCCTGAGTTCTCAGCTGACTGAAGTGATCAGAGATACACAATCATGCACGCCAAATTTTGCATTGGGGAATTCAAGCCAGACTTGTAGAGACAGTAGCCAACTAAGGCAACATAAACATAGATCAACTATAAACGACAATGAAAACACATGGTGGATCAAATTTCAAAGTGAAACAAAATGCCAAACGCCTCTTCCATGTGCTGTCTCTGGGCGTCCTCCCGAAAAACATCTGCGCCTCAAACTTATCAAGGCTTGCAGTCACTTTCAGTCGCTTGCAGTCATCCTGAAAGACACCTCCAATCGGATCCAATTTGTACTTCAACTGGACAATCTTGCAGCGTACCTCTTGTAGTATACTGTATACTGGATTCCCAGACCTCGAGATGCATGCAAGGCTGCCACTTCTGCTTCTTCTAGACGTCGTTCTAGCCTTGGGTGTTTAGATCATAGGTGTCCTGCTCTGAAGGATCTCAAGGTGTTTCATGGCAGCTTCAAGGCAAAAAGGGCAAATGATGCAAATAAGCAATACAAAATGTTGCAAAATGGATTACCGTGCAATATACCATGCACGGCATCAAACTACAATCTTTGCATCTCCGCCGCATCAATCCCAAGAAGCCAGCATGGCTCGAACAACTTCAGCTCTGCACTGTTCCTCAGTATGGGGAGTGTGAGCAATGGCTCTTGAAAGATCTTGAAACTGGTTCCGGATGGTTCCGGTTGGCTTGGCAAAGCATGTGGGCAGCCTGTGGGTATGTCAAAAAACGGAAGATAGATCAGGATAGCAGGCTGCGCCAAGCCAGTGGTTCTCTGCTCCTGAAATGGATCTCCTAAATGAATCTAAATGAGGTCATGGCTTCCTCAGCAATGAGTTTCCAGGATTTTTCTTCACCTCGACCTTTGTTTCAGCTATCTGAGCTCGTCAAAGTCAGGATCATTGGTGCAGTACCAGTTGGTACAGCAACTCAGTAACAACATGATGCACGAAACACACGACATTTATTTGGCCCTACATCTTGCGAGGATGTGCTTCTCCCAGCCTTTGCGTATAAGTTTCCAACGCAGCAACTCTTTCTCCAACCTCTTTTGTGTTTCAATCTGTTCCACCTGAGGCCAAATTTGTCTCCTTTCCCTGCTTGTTCCATTCGGCATCGCAGCCGCCTGTAGCTCTGTTGTCTGTTGTTTTGCTTCCTGCAATTCTTCTTGGAACATACTTGATTCACCTGGCATCTGCGAAGGGTAAGTGAAGGCTAGGCTGCCAGGCTGCGCCAACAGCAAGTCATGCGACAAAATCCGAATCCTAGGAAAAGACCGAGGACCAAGGCAAACAAGCTGGGTGCACGGTGAAGCTTCTGGCCCAGAGCCTCAACACATGTAGTGGCTCCAGTATGCTCCAGTAACAGCTGCGCATTGCACGGCATGGCACCTGTATAGCAACAACTGGAAATCATCTCCCACTTTGTATCTAAATGTATATAATAAATATATAATCGCGTTACGAATAGTGCCGAACAAGGCGGTGGCGGAAGTTTCAAAGACAGGAAACTATAGGAGAGGTGCGTTGTTGTGATGCATGGATGGCAGAGCGAAATTATGGACCGAACGGTGGTTGGAGTTGTGTTTTTTTTTTTTCGGCGTGGTTGCATTGGTCACCTCACCCACAACTGCTGGATGTAGTATGGTGTAGAAGATGAGATGAGACCAGGCAGACATAGACAGACAGAAAGATAGACCGATAGATAGATCGTAGGTAGATAGATAGATGGATAGATAGGTGGGTAGATAGACAGACAGACAGACAGAAAGAAAGATAGATAGATTAGACTAGATATGTATAGTATGTATAGATAGCTAGATAGATGGATAGATGGATAGGTAGATAGGTAAACGGATAGACGGAGAGATGGATCGATGGACAGATGGATGGATCGATCGATAGATAGAGAGATAGAGAGTTAGAGAGATAGAGAGTTAGAGAGATAGATAGGGAGATAGATAAGGAGATAAAGAGATACAGCGATGGAGTGATAGACAGATAGGCAGATAGACAGACAGACAAATAGACAGTGACGTGGAAAGGCTGGCAGGTAGAGAAACAGACAGCGGATAGATAAGTAGGCACATAGATAGACAGATGATGGATGGATATTATATAATATAATTATATATATAACATACCATGAATAGACAAATAGACTGCTGCAGGCCCTCGTCAAAACAAACCGTAGCTTTTAACGAAGGTGCCGCACATCGTTTCTTCTCATGTTTAAGTGCCCCTAAAATCGTCGTTCTGCTACGTAGTATTTTCGCATGTTTTGAAAACCAAACGAGGCAAACACACTGTAAATATGAATGGTTTTGAAGCACGGAAAACAAGAACCATGGTATTTACAATGTTTTTGCATGTAGTATGAAAAACAATGGTATTTGCAGAGGTTTTTACACGTCCATTGCCCAAAACACTGGTATTACGCAGTTTTAAACATGTTGCACGTAGTAAAATAATGTGCAACAACATTGTAAATTACAATGTTTTTTTGCTAATGGACAAATGCCAGAAAAATGCTCAAGAATCGTCGAAAGGCACGGACCAGGGAGGAATCGATAGGGGGGGGGAAGGGGGGGGGCCCTCAATTTCAGTGAGTGAAAGAAGCCACCAATACATTTTAAGTACTAAAGTACATGGAACACCTTTCGTGACTTTTCGACCCTCCGGAGCCACAAAACATTGGAAAAAAACACGGTGTTTCGCGACTTTTCTGCCTTTTTGCGCACCTGCATCTTCTTTCTTATGACTCTTTCTCTTCTCTGATCTTCTTCGTTCTCACTTTCTCTTCTCTGACTCTTCCCACCTCCGCTTTTCCATCTGTCCATTATGTTGGAAGTTTGACTTCTAAACTGCCATCGAATAGTGAAGGCATCATTTAATTTGACTTCTGCCATTTTCTGGAAATTCTGGAAGTATTTTGGTAAAGTGTGGAATTGTGCGAAGTGTGAAACCATGTGCCTGGGCTGAACGAAGCTCTTCAGTCTTTTGTGCCAGCTGTCGTCCAGCCTAGGCTGTGTCGACATGCTTCTTGTAAAGAAAAGATGCTGCAGGAACATCGAAACTCACCAGCAACTTCCTTTTGCATTCTATCAGATTGCTGGCATATTAGTTCGATCTGTCTTGATGCAGCCATTCAAAGAAGGTGTGCACCACAGTGAGCAAATGTGTCTCAGTTCCAACGCGGAGCACTCGATGGCCAAGCGTGTGGGTCCCTGCAAACACGAAGTCAGTCTTCGAAGGAGTCAGATTTCTTTCTTTTGATGTTCACCAGGGTGCCACAAATGTCCAGCTTTAATCATCTTTAATCAATGTCATAGGTTTCCTCCATTAGCTGTGGCTTTAGGCACAACTCGTCGAGTATCCATGCATGCCAAGGCTTGATGCTGCAAAAGGTTCTTTTCTGAGAGCATGTGCACGTCATTACACGTCTCCACTACCTTCGCCATGTGCTTCTTTCTCTGCTCTTATGGCCCCATCTTGCAAAGCTGCCTGCAGACTACATGTTCCAAAAGTACGTCGTGGGATGTCGTAGGCTACCGAAACAAGCAGGACATATGGGAAAACATGGGAAAAGTGCAGACCTGTTCAACTCCTGCCTGCAATTCTGCATTCAGCCGCATCTCTCGAATATTCGCTTCCTGCAGAATCAGCCCCTAGCCTGAGCAATGCCTCTGCAAATCGGCTGCACGTCCTGGAGCTCCGTTCTAGCCATCTTTAAAGCTTCCTTGTGCTCGCTTAACCTGCATGTCATTTGTGTTGGAAGAGTTTCAAGAAATCATACTACAGGGTTGCCCTCAACAATTCAAATACTACATAATTTGGGAGGACATTGGGTAAGATAAGATACAAACTCATCACTCTGCGCCCTTGTGGCAATCATTTGTATAAGTTTGCGATAGTTTGTAATATTTTGTAATAGTTTATATATATTATATATATATTATATATTATATATTATATATATATACACCTGTAATCCGTTGTCCTGATGCTGCCTTTGTATGCCTTTGTTCTATTGTAGACTCTTTCAGGTCAAGATAGTTCACAAAATCCCCCTGGTAGCAAAATGCGTGCTGTTCAGTGATGCTTTGAAGCGCTTTAGAATCTTTAAAGCTTGTGACACAGCCAAACCATACCAAATGTGTCAGTAGCGTCACTGTCCTTTGCCTATCAAGTAACACAAACAGGTGCACTTCCAAGGACATGACTCCTCAAGTGCGAAGTCATTTCCAGGATCCTGGACGGGTCCGTAATTGATTTGACATGATTTGACAGGTTGGAATTTCAATGCAGATACTGGTGGAGAGCCAGTCCTTCTCTGGACGCCTGTCTACGGGTAGCCCTGACAGGAATTTCATCCTACAAAATCCTACAAATACAGCTGCAGGAAATAAGAGATCGTAAACCAGGGTGGTTCATGCTCGACGAAGAGAAATCAAATCAATGATCATGGTCGGCCTGCTTCTTTTCCGTCCCACATACCAGCAAAGTAAGCTGCAATGTCCTGGAAGAAAACCAAGTTACTACATGTACAGTACCATATGATACCATATGTACCAGTACCCTTATGATGACTGCAATCGTTAAAGCAAATCACTACACATCACAGTCATTTTAGTGATGCTCGCAAAAGCCGCAAAAGTGGAGCTCCTCATCGTCCACTCTGTCCTCTAAGGCCGCAGGAATTTCTAGGATTGGCTACTCCACTATAATCCGCCAAAGAGCTTTGCAATGGGGCCAGTAGAAGCTACGTCTCAATCTGTGAAATTAGTTCAAATATGTTCAAATCAGTTCAACGATGTTCAAAGTAACTTTTGAAAGAAACAGGTTGCAACATGTTGCAACATCTTGCAACGGTACACTCCAATGTCACTCATTTTCAAAGGCATTGCCTGCAGGTCTTGGGAAGGAGGATACAGCCTGAGTCAATGCGTTCACTTCTCATCGGATGGTACGAATATATGCATGAAATTATACGAACATACACGAACGAGATCGAATCAGCATACATTTGGTCTCAACTCTTTCCGGGACGAAGCTCTTGGTGCTGGACAAGTTAAACACGCGAATGCAGGCCTCAGGTCCTGCCAAAAACTGTAGCGAGTTTAAACATGTTTCCGGATCTCCAAAGGACATCTGCCATCAGTGTCCTTGCACTGTGGCCAGTTCGCTGCCAAGCCTAGCAATGCGTAACTGGGAACTTTCATGCGTCTGGGATCATGATCATTTTGGATCATTTGGGCGGCATGATTTTCTACACAGTTTCGCATCTTTTTGCAATTATTTGACATGTTCATGCTCTTTCTAAGGGCTCTGCAATTGCTGGTGGGTGTGCACTCCAGCCATCCAGGAGGCATCAAATAATGAAGGCCTCGAAGTCTGTGAGAAACATAGCGGCTTAACGAAACTTCCTCCCTCTCTCTCTCTCTCTGAATGCGCGCGGCTGTGCGGAACACGATTATGTCGATGATTGATCAGTTGCGGATGGTAATTTGGTCAATCAAGTTTGGTTCAGCTGCTGGCCATGCCTGAGTAAATGCTGACGTTGTTGGATGCTGCTGGCCTAGCTGATCCCCCTTAGCCCTTTTGAGAACTGAGGACAATCCATGACAATCCCTCTGTCTCCGTCCTGTACGTCTTTCATTATTTCAATGAAGCGGGATTGCATCGCCTGCAAAGATCATCATATCACGCCCAGTGCTCTGCAAAAAACTCGTGAGATGCACAGTTGAGAGGGCTGCGCAGCTGCTATGAGGGCATGGTTCAAGTGTTCAAACAGTTTCATAATTACAAGGCCCTTGCAAATTGCAAATCTATGCAAATTTGCCCGCCTGAAAACGCGTGTTGCGAAAGGCGATAGCAGGACACACCTTGAGGGGACACTGGATCGATGCGGAATCTGTGGTATGTCAGTTCAAGATCCGGAATTTGGATGAATTTGGATGAAATTGGCTCACATCCCTGAAAGTCTCACAGCTCTGTCGTTGCAATGTTCCCTGCATTCGTTTCGGCCACAACAAAACCAATTGATACCTTTTGTATCCTATCTTGATTCTGCATAAGGCATCGCTCATATGCAAACCATTCTCGAGCCACAGCATTTGTCGTGTAGCATCAATTAGCGTGCAACTTCACCTTCATATCACCCACCCAGTGACCCCACCCAGTGACCCTCGGTGCTACTGCTAGCCGCCCCGCCCCATTCAAAGCGCGCATCAACGTGCAAATTCTCACCAGCATTGTGTCGGGAACAAGGGGCAAACGCTGTCCGATCCTTTGGTAGCATCACGAAAGCCACCAAATGCAGAAAGGAAATACATTATATAATATACAATACATTAAATTACATTAATATACATTAATATAATATACATTAATATACATTATAATTTAATCATTATATGATAAATAAATATATATAGCGACCGCCTGAAAGATAGAATATTGTACTCTTAGTCGGGACAAGATAGAATATCAAAAAACACAGGGTCTAGCACCCACAAGATAAAATATTCTGAAATTAAAATAATCACAAGATAGAATATTCGATCTTTTCGCCGGTCGGTATAGATAATTATGGAATTGGGGGGAAATCCCAGTAAATCCCAGTAAAGCTGCGAAAACCTCTTTTTACAAATCAGCTAAGCCAACATGCCAAGTGGACTCCCTCCTGCCACGGTTATATATCTATATCTCTCTATCTAATATATATATATATACACATATCTTGGAAATCAACACACAAGCCTTTCCACGCAATGGAAGGCTTCCAAATATATAATTTGGAGCCATGTCACGCCAGGGTCTCGAAATATTCTATCTTGTCCGTTTAAATATTTTTGAGCCTTATCAAAGCTCAAAGAATAAGATTAAACAATTGAAAAACATTGAAAAAACAAATTAAAAACATGAAAAAAAACAATTAAAAATTATGAAACAGATAGAAAAAAAAGGAAAAATGATGAAAAAGAGAGAAAAAAACAATGAACAATGATGAACAAGAGAGAAAAAAACAAGGAAACATTATGAAAAAGAGAGAATAAACAATGAAACATGATGAAAAAGAGAGAAAAAACCAATGAAAAATGATGAACAAGAGAGAAAAAACAATGAAAACCGATTATATAAAAATATGGAAAAAAAACAATGAAAAATGATGAAACAGAGAAAAAAAACAATGAAAAAATGAAGAAAAAAAGAGAAACACCACAATGAAAAATGATGAAAAATAGAGAAGCACACATGAAAAATGATGAAAAAGAGAGAAAAACCATGAAAAATGATAAAAAAGAGAGGAAAAAACAATGAACAATGATGAAAAATAGTGGAAAAAATACGGAAACATGATGAAAAATAGAGGAACAAACAATGAAACATAATGAACAAAAGAGAAAAAAACAAGAAACAATGATGAAAAAGAGTGAAAAAAAACAATGACACATGATGAAAAAGAGAGGAAAAACACAAGGAAGCATGATGAAAAATAGAGTAACAACAATGAAAAATGATGAAACATAGTAAAAAAAATGAAAAATGATGAAAACGAGAGAAGAAAACAAGAACAAATGATGATAAAGAGTGAAAAAAACAATGAACCATGATGAAAAAGAGAGAAAAAAACAAGGAAACATGATGAAAAATAGAGAAACAACAATGAAAAATGATGAAAAAGAGAGGAAAAACAATGAAACATGATGAAAAATAGAGGAAACAACAATGCAAAAGGATGAAAAATAGAGCAACAACAATGAACAATGATGAACAAGAGAAAAAAAAACAATGAAAAATGATGAAAAAGAGAGAAAACACACAATGAAAAATGATGAAAAAGAGAGGAAAAACAATGAAAAATAATGAACAATAGAGAAACAACAATGAAAAATGATCAAAAAGCGAGAAAAAAAAACATGAAAAAACACGTTCATCATTTTTAATCATTTTTCATTGTTTTTTTCTCTTTTTCATCATGTTTCATTGTTTTTTTCACTTTTTTCAGCAGGGTTTCTTGTTTTTCCCTCTCTTGGTCATCATTTTTCATTGTTTTTTGACATTTTTTTCATCATTTTTCAGTGGTTTTTCTCTCTTTTTCATCATGTTTGATTGTACTTTTTCACTCTTTTTCATCATTTTTTCTTGTTTTTCTCTCTTGTTCAGCATTTTTTCATTGTTTTTCTATCGTTTTCATCATGTTTCATTGGTTGTTCTCTCTTTTTCATCATTGTTCATTGTTTTTTCTCTATTTTTCATAATTGTTCATTGTGTTTTTCTCTCTTTTTCATCATGGTTCATTGTTTGTTCTCTCTTTTTCATCATTGTTCATTGTTTTTTCTCTCTGCTTCATCATTTTTCATTGTTTTGTCTCTATTTTTCATCATTTTTCATTTTTTTTCCCATATGTTTAATCGGTTTCATCATTTTTCAGTGTTTGTTCTCTCTTTTTCATCATGTTCCATTGTTTTTTTCACTCTTTTTCATCATTTTTCATTGTTGTTTCTCTATTTTTCATAATGTTTCCTTGTTTTTTTTTAAAAAAAATATTTTTCATCATGTTTCATTGTTTTTTTTCACTCAGTTTCATCATTTTTTCTTGTTTTGTTCTCTCTTGTTCATCATTTTTCATTGTTTTTCCCTCTATTTTTCATCATGTTTCCTTTGTTTTTTCTGGCATGTTGACTTGGCGTCCTGTTGCTTCAAAAATCATCAGTAGTTTTCTGCACAGGCACGCACGAAATTGACAAGATAGAATATTCAAGGGGGTGTTCCCATATTGGAACATGTTGGATTCAGAATTGTTGGAAATCCCACAGCAGAATTTGTTTAACATCATTTCACAGTAGCACCCTGTTGCTTCAAAAATCATCAGTAGTTTCAAAGTTTTCTGCACAGGCATGCACGAAATTGACAAGATAGAATATTCAAGGGGGTGTTCTGTGAATTTTTGTGAATATTCTATATTAATATTCTATCTTGTGGTGTTTTTTTCCGAGTGGGAGGCCGATGGTAATTTTCTCACTCGCGTGTCTGGTAGTGAAAAATATTCTATCTTTCATGCGGTCGGTATAATGCATACAAACGCGATGTGCTGGTGCAGCAACATAACAGGCGGCCCCCCTAGCCAAGACATGAAGCGTCTTGATGACGTCTTTAATTGGCTGGCAATACCCGGCATGCAAAACCAACTGCAAGCTCGATTTGGAAACCAGGGCCTGCAAATCCCCAGGTACTGGTTCTGAAGCACTTTGGCTTTCTAACCTGAAACGCGACAGTGACTCCCAGGGTCCAGTTGGGTATGATTGGATACAAATCCAGAAAGTGGACTGTAGAAGATTCTCAGGAACCGGCTGTTTGCGGCTTGCATCTTGCAGCCTGATGCGTCTTCGCCACGTCACTAAGCTAGAACATCTATCATCCAAGTACTTGGTCAATCGCATTCGATCTGAGTTGTTGACAAATCTTGCATAGACTCCAGACTAGCAAACTCCAAAGGAATCCTGTTCCGGTTGAGTTGCCGATGTCTGCATCGTGCAGTATCCAACTACACCAATCCAAACAAACACCGATGTAATGGTGTAGTTGGATCTATTGAAAATGCTATTTCTTTTGCGGTCAAGGCCATGCCAACCTGCCGCTGTTTGGATCTCGAAGCAACGGATCAGCGGCCTTCTTCGGGTCACAACAAATGCGCAACTCATCAAACATCATAAGTTGTCATAAATCCATACAAATCCAGCCTTTGCGAGTAGCAGCTGAGCAACTCCTGTCAAGATTTTCATGGCACCTAAACTGGTGACCAACCCACGTCCCAACGACCCAACTGCCGGGCAGTTTACCTTGACATCCGCCTTCTGCAGCGTAGTGAAGCGGAGCAAGACCTCAGCACCAGTGCAGCAAAACTGGGCAAGGCCCAATGATCAATGGCCCAGGGCAGCAAAAAAACAAGGGCAAAAACAAACGCCTTGATAATCCTTTATGATCCTTGGGTTTGAGGCCAAAGGAATCGCATCGATTCGGCTCCTGCATTCAAGAGTTGAAAGGAAGAGCCTTGCAGGGCATATCCCATTTGTGATGCAAGCAGAGCAATATAATATAACATTCCAAGTATTTCCAAGTCTAAGTCATTACTCTGAAGTATTCCAATTGCCGAAACAACTTTCAAGCAGGCAGGCAGTACTGCCAGACTTTGCAGCAGCAGCCGCACGCATTCCTCCTGCAGATTGCTTTTCTGGAAATGACCTACCTTGACCAGTTTCACCACATGAAATGCCAACCCCATAGGTCTCCGCTGCCAATGGTGAAGAGTTGAGAACCTTTGGCGAACTGCAAACTGACAAGGAATCCAAAACGACAAGGCTCAAGAGGTGTGCACAAACGACGTGAGCACAACCACCAAATGACATGTACGAACCACCAAATTCCGCTCGACGCAATGGTTGATCAAAGCGCATGCCAAGCACACTGAGAGGGAGGGAATTTGGGGAGGATAGAAAGCATTAAAAGTAAGAATGCCACAAAGCACTGTTATGACAACACCCATCTCAAGAAACCGTACCAGTGAGTCAAGTGCATCCGAAAGAGTCTGCCAAGCAATCAAAATACTTCAGTCACGCCACGTACGAATCAAAACAACTCTCTCCCTTACGTTCAGCATCTTCAGCGCAGATCCGCTTTCTGAATTTGACTCTTCAAGTGACCATGCTTTCCCACGATTCACAGACCCCCCCCGCCCCCTGTCAGTTACTGTATGGACTTTGCGGAGGAACTAGGTGTGGGCGGAATAGCAGGACAGTGCAGTCTTCATGCTACGCAATGCACATCACCACTTGAAGGCCCGGTGACGCTTTCCTACCAACAGTCGGCCACAAGCAGCGAGATAGAATCTTCGTCCCTGTTTGATATCATCCACTAGTGTGGATGCAATACTACACGAGGAGCCAGTCGGCCACTGGTATGAATGATCTAAAACAACAGCTGCAAATTACATCAGATTACAGTCTGTGGGAGATTGAACTTGGGAACTCAAGCAACAAAACGCTAAATGTAAGGCCAGCTCTGCATAGGCCAGAGGCGATCTGCCGCTTTGATCGCACCTGACACACAAGGGCCGGATAGATATTGGTTAAAGAACCTGCTCGTATTTCGAGAGCATTTCAACATTGAATGGAATTATCTACTCTGCAATCTCGATCTACTACTGAATGTTTCGGGTTGACTCGGGTTGCAGGTTTTTGCTCATGTCGTTGTATCTACGCATTTCGCGCACAACAATCACACAACAATATACAACAATGACACGTTGTCTGAACATGCCTTGCAATGCAATTGCATGCAATCTCAACCCTGGCCTCTCAGCCAAGTTGTGGTTTGCGGACAAAAGAAGGCGGCAAAGGCTCGAGTCCTGACTGTTCTCCATGTTCTCCCATGGGTTTGTAATGGTTTGTACTTGTCTGTAAATGTGGGATGTTGAACGACACTCTTTGTTTGGTTGCGGTGATTCTGAGTAACTTGGCGGGCCCAGGCAAAATTCAAGCACTAGCAACATTGCAGCCAGAGAGGGATACCCTCTTTCAGTGAGCTAGCGATTTATGGATGCAAACAAAGATTCCAACCATTCTACCTGCCACAGGAACACAATGCTTGTGTGACTCAAAATTATATAGAATTGAATTATATAAGTATATTGTAACATAGTATAATAAATAATAAATAAACATAAATAAACGATATATGTAATTATTTGAATACGTCAATCTGTAGTCCGCCTGGCTGCAAACTGCTAAGTGCAAGGGAGTGCGGCCGAAGGTGTCCTGCAAGATTTCATGGAAATTCCTTTCTCGCATAACAAAAAACAAGCCAAAAAAACGGAAGATTTCCGAGTCTGGTGCTTGGGCATCAGCTTGACACCCGCGCTCTAGCAAAACTGAAGCGGCCTCTTCGGGCGCAAAGGAAGTTTGTTTGTTGGAACGTCAGTGACTGCAATTGGGGGCATTTCTGCAACAACACTTTGTTTGTATCCAAGCCTGCCAAAGGAAACAAATGAAATGAGATGAAGAGGATTGAAGAGGATTGAAGAGGATTGAAGAGGATTGAAGAGGATTGAAGAGGACTGAAGAGGATTGAAGAGGATTGAAGAGGATTGAAGAGGATTGAAGAGGATTGAAGAGGATTGAAGAGGATTGAAGAGGATTGAAGAGGATTGAAGAGGATTGAAGACTTTGAAGACTTTGAAGACATCATGTCAATCATATCCGCTCCAGCATCTTTTCCCCAAAGGATGAGCCTTCACTGCACTTGCAGTGTTGATTTCTAACCCAAGACAAGACTTGTGAGCAGCAGTGGCATCCAAAACATTCGAAAGTGTTTAGTCCTTTGAAGTGCATCATCACTATACATCTACCTTCAAAAGCCATATGTCCGGCTATCCCTTTTTCAACATTGCCATGCTCTGGTTCCAACTGTAGACATTCCATATCATTCCATCTTATTCTTGACTGTTTTGAAATGAGCGCTGCCTCTACAAGTTGCACAGCCCGCACTTTTGACGTGGCTGCCACCCAGCTATGTCTCAACACATGAGAGGGCTGGTATTGAGACATCTCACATGTCTCAGTACATCTTAGTCAACTGAGACAGCATCAACTTCTGTCCGGAATGCTCACAAACCTGGGCTGAAGATATCATTGAGGCGAGGCGTGCCAATCAGGAACCAGCGGTTTTGGGCAGTCTTTTGCTAGTGGAACAAACATGCATAATCATGAGATATTGTAAACCAATCTAAATCTAAACTCATATAAGCTCATACAACTTACTAGTATATAAAACATCATATGCAAGCAGCGACGTCGCTTCTTTCCTCCACCAAGACCTCCTGGAACTTTCAGCAAGCCAGACGTCCACCGTGCCACATCCCCAAACAGCTGCTCCTAAGCACACGGAAAAAGAAGTCACAAACAAATTCCCAACAATACTTGTATCATCTTGTATCAACACACAATCCAGCTTGAACTCACAATGTTTACTTTTGTTTGCTCTCAATGTGATTTCTGAACGTGTTTGACTTGAACGCATTTTGCCGTTGTATTCAACAGGATTCCCCTATTCTCTGCGCATCGTTGCAGATTTCAATGCGATGCTCGCCGGGTTCTGCGAAAACCAAAACCACAAAACTCTGTTCGCATTAGACAGCGCTGTTGCTTAATTCCCCAAACACAGGGTTAGCGAGAATGTCTTCTGACAATCCTTGTCACCGATGTATACTGACGCCATTTGCATGATGAGAGGTGGAGTGAGGTGAAACTTAGAACTTATGATGGAAAAGATATTGCTGCAATATAGCTTCAACCAGGGTGATGATGGGCTGTTTCTTTTTGTAGCGGACTTCCCCCACCGTATCTCAAGCAAGTATCTGTTGCTTCGTTCACCTCCGGCTTTCCAGGCTCCTGCCGCAAGAGCAGAACTTTGATTTTTTTGCGCCCTGATTCCTCGTTCAATTCGCAAGAAGAGAACGTTGCACTGTCCTCAGCTTCTTCCTCCTCTTCCTGCCCTGGTTGGAGAAGTGTTAAGAGCAAAATGAACTCAACGAAGACGCGCTTTGTAACATCTTAGAAAAACATGGAAAACATGGAAAAACTGTTTTTTTCCAGCCAAGTTGGAGCTGGGCCTTTTAGACACATTGACCTGCAAAAAAGCGATGCTCTTGGATTGGCCTCTACTTTTGCGGCCTTTGCCCTTCGCACCTCCACATTGTTCACATCTCAAAGGGTCTGGACTGCCCGTTCAACAGTTCAACTACTCGAACTCGACTGTACCATTACTCCATATTAATCCATATTAATTACATCATACTACTACCATACATTTGAAAGCAGCTGGTATCGTTTCATGTCTTGCTTTCGAGCCTTTTCCACCTCTTCCTTTTTTGGATCCCTTCCACAGCTTTGAAGTCAATGCGCTGGCTGGACGCTTCAAATCCTAAGCCACACGTTCGTTCATGCTGTGAACAGTGAATTCTTTGCAGCTGATTATCATTGCAAGTTTGGAGTCCCTGCTGCACAAACGCTGGCAAAGTCACAGCGACCACGTCACCGCTTTTGGCCTTTCTCTTCTTCCCAGAGGAAATCTCTCGCTCCTCATTGCCATACATTTCACCTGCGATGAAAACCATATGAAAACCGTGTCACCCACACACTGGTCGAACACAGGAATTGGAATTTGCGGTTCAAGATGGTTCAAGTCATGACATACTGGGAAAACATGGGGAAATATTGAGCAAGGGCGAGCAAATCACAGAACGGGCCGCACAACCTGAAGCGCCAAGATACGGATCGCTTGTTCGAGTCTGTCCAAGTCGTTGCTCCACATCTGCTGAATCGATGTCTTTTTCACTTGGGCCTGAGGCGTGACGAGTCGCAACATCTCCCAAGTATCTCCTGGACCCGTGAGTTCATTGTCCGCTTGATGCTATGTTCTACATGGTAGGGTGTCCACAAGAGGTGGTACCAGATTTAGCCTGACACTTCTTCAACGATCCGAAACTTTCGTTGCGCATCCTCGAGTCCACACATTTCATACAAGACCTTGCAGATCGAAAAGGCTCGCACCAATTCGTCACTCTTGAACTTGTAGAGCTTCCTTAAGTCGACAGCACTACACCATGAACATGTCAGATTTGCATTGCCTTTGGCTTACCTTTCAGTCCAATATCTTTGCGTTATTGCTTTCAAACATGTCCGGCCATGTGTACAACAACAGCTTATCGGACTTATGAGAGTTTAACTTCTGATCAAGCGCAAGTGCGTGCGTCATTGTTTGTCCATGTGTGCATCGAGTCGAAAATATCGAAAGTTCATCAGCCAAGGCTCTCAAGTTCCAGCTTCCTTTCATGGGTCAGTGTCAGAATCTGCATCCCCAGCAGGTACCTGTGCCCAATCTGACCACATCTGACCACTATCCAATAGTGTATTTGCTCTGCAGATGTTTGGGAAGCTTTGGACTGGGCAACATGAACTGCCAACAGGATGAGGTGATCAGTCAAAACATGTCAAAACATATTCAATCAATGAATCAAATCACAGCTCACACAGGAGCCATATCACACGCTTCCCAAATTGCAGCAAAGGAGCTCGTAGCCAGTCCTGAAGCGTCAAGGTGATGTGGCGTGGAAAATTCAGGACCAATTCAGGAATTACAGTAAAAAAAGTCCGTGAATGTGAAGTAAACCGCCTTCATCACCTTCCATGGCACCATGGATGGACATGTTACTAAACGTTCTTCTTTCTGCGCTTGATTGCAAGCTGCCTTGGCGGTGTTGTGTCTCCAAACTTCCGGAATTTCAATCTTGTGAGATCTTTCACAATGTCAGCCTCGCAATGCAAAACTGGGAAGGAGTGGCTCAAATGAGAATTGCCCCCTGGAAGGTCAGAGCATTAAATTATCATCCAAACCAGCTGAGATGCATGTTGGAAGAGCTGCGATACACAGATTCGACCAGTGACTGCATGAATGTATAATCAATGATGCGCGGCATGAAATAGAAGTAACCTCTGGCGAGGCCACTTTTGGATGTTTTTAGTAGAAACATCTACACATCATGGGTTCCCATGGCCCGTGGATTACCTGAGGGTTTCAAAAGGTATTCAATCCCAAACAGCGAATGTCAGCAATGGCAATGCCGATAGTATTCAACAGCGGATGTATAATTGATAGCTGTTCAAATCTCTTTGAGGGATATTCAACAAGCATGATTTCGGCCGATTGTAGTATGAACATGTATGAACGCTAATTGAATTGACGGGTATCATTATCATGCTGCACTCAGATGCTTTTATCTTCTGTCCCACCTTCTTCCGATTGTTGATGTGAAGCTTCTTGGCGATGATCATGCCGATGAATCGTGCTCGATTCCCGAGTAGCTCCTCAAGGGTATGTCACAACCCTAGCAATGCTCTACGCTTAACCTGCAAGTATCTCAAAGTACAAGTAGCGGAAGAACAGCAGCGACGGTTTTGCATTTTGCGGGTGTAAGCAGAACAGCTCAGCCTTCTCAAGCGTGAGCTTTTGAATCAGGTACTTTTTCCGCAAATCGTACCTGGGCACTCGGGCAGTGGAGAGTTCCTTCACAGCTGGATTTCCAACGGATTCCAACGGAACTGTTTGCCTTCGAGCTACATTTTCAAACGGACTTTTGCAAACTCTTGCATAATCTCCTTGGCATTCTTGTACTTCGTGATCTTCCCCTCGTGATTGAAGAGGACCATGTTCGTCTCGTTGATGCTACCTTTGAGTTTCATTGCAACTTCAATGCCATCCTTTTGCTCCGCTTCCTTCAGCTTGTTGCCATCCATTCGAACTACAAAGTGCACTTGCCGCTCCGTGTGATACTCTCTCACCTTGGCAGGTATGGACGGTATGGACGGGAATGGGCGCTTGCTGGATAGACCTGGATAGCATGGTAAGATATGGTAAGATCGAAAGTGAAGACATCTTTTGAGAATGTGAAACAGTCGGTTGATGCTGGTTGAAGCATCAGCGGGCTGATGCATGTTTGCTTCTTGTTTGCTTTGATCTGATTCAGCTGAATTCCAAAGCTGAGCACATCGTAGATGTTCAACTTGCTTTTCTTGTTGTCGCCACCGGGCATGTTGCTCTGCAAAAACCTCGGGTGTTGGAATACCAACCAAGCTATATAGCTTGCTCCGCAAGATATGGTATGGGTAGAGTGCGCTGAGAATGCAAATCCTGAAAGAACAAACAAAACGAGCAACAAGCACATGTTATGAAAGCTCTTAGTTGCAAGGTCTTCCGGCCGTGCAATCTTGTTTCCAAGGAACTCTTTGTAGTCCTGGGTCCATTTTTTGAGAGGCAATTCGGTGATCTGCAGAATTGTTGTGCTTGTTTTTGAAAAACTGCCCAGGCAGTCGTACTTGCCTTGGCGGCCCGCTTTGGAACAAGCACATGAGCCGTGCCCAAAACTCTTGAGTCATCCCCCCTTTCTAACTCACATGCTGACACACTGCTCAATACAGAATTGGGAAACCAGCAACAGCACGACCTGTGTTCTCTTGTATTTCCAAGGCACCTTTCTCGCCCGATGGTTTGATGGTTCCAGTAAAACCTCTATACCATGGCTGCATATTTTGCATCGGCTTCCTGAGTATTTCTGTCATGCATGGGTTACTTGTCCGTACTTGCAGATTGCAAAACATTCTCGGCCCGAGCTAGATCTAGTGTTTCAACATGTTCCAACATGTTCTAATACTGCTACTGACATCAAGTCTTAATGCATTGGCCAACATTACTTTCGGACCCTCACGTGAAGAGCAGAGCAAAAAACACATTGAACAACAGAACAACAGTTGTTGAATGAACAATTCTTCACGAGCATTTGAAGCATTTGGACCAAGGCTCTTCTTGATGAATTGGCGCATGTTGGCCTTGCACAAAGATCGCAAAGCGAAAGAAGATGAAAGAAGGGGCAGGAGTTGAGTAAAGAACAAATCGGAGCCAAGGAAATCCTTGCTGCTCCCTATCAAATGCCACCCAGCAGCGATGATGTCCAAGGGATTGTAGTTTGGCACTGAAGTGCTCCAGCCTGTGCCTGGTCGAACATGTTCCAACGCCAAGTTTGATCAATTGAATGTGAAACAGGGCAAATATGGCAAAAACATGCAAGATCTCCTGGCTGAAGCATTTCCAGATTACGAGTATTACAACATCTGGCGGCCTATGCCCTCCGATCCATTCACCAGAATCATTGGAATGATCGGGGCATACCTCATGAGCAATTTAGCCATGTCTGACCACTCTATTTGCCCATGTGTCAGTGAGCGTCTGAGCATTCACTGAGTATCGTGCCAATACGGCTCAATCTTCTGACCCTCTTCCGCCTTGAACATGCTGAAATTTGGACAAAAAAAGAGGAAAGGACAAGAAGCGTCATCATCATGGCAAGATGATGGCAAACTGTTCGAAGGGCCTGGTACTCGAGCACCGGATCATCAAGAGAACAGAACAGCATTCGAGCGATCGGAGCAAGCCTCACAGAAGTTCTCCATTCCAAAAAGTCTTGAAACGATTTCCAAACGATAAAACATGACAGAAACTGTGACAGGCCTTGTGTAGATGTATCGAGCACTGGCTGCATCCTGCAACGCAACTAGAGAGGCACTTTGGAGACTTTGTTTTTTTTTTTCTTTTTTCATGTGTTTTTTTTCCGCAGTATTGTGAATCGCATTGCTGTTCGCGCCTTTCCGCCTTGGGCTCGTGTCCCGAACTGACCGGATGGAATCAACAGGTTGAGATTGTTGGACCCAACAAAGTCCTGCCGGGTTGGAAAGAGACTCGCTGCTGGTGGTTAGCCATAGCATGCCATAGTTGTGAAGATTGTGAAGGGGGTTCTTCACAGGCTCGATGCTGTCACGCACTACTAGTAGCATAGCCACTGCATCATGAACCGGCTCAACCAGGCTAGGCTTCTCAATTCAATTTCTTTCATTTTGACATCCTCGAATTGTAACAATTATATACAATTATATCAAAGCACATGCGAAGCAGGAAATGCCAGGAGTGCCTGAGCCATGGAAACGATGGTACCGGACAACGATGCTTCTCCATGGTGGTAAGCACTGTGCTCGCCTTGGAGATTAAGTTTGTCAAAGCTACACTTCCTGGTCATTCCTGGTCCAGGTGAGAGTTTGGTCCAAATTCTCAAGTTTGTCGTTTCTCTTGTTTCTTAGCTTGGCAACAAGCACAGCCTTGGCATCTTGAGCTGGGATGCAGACCTACATATCCAACCAGTTGAGCAACCTTCACGTCTGACTTCAAATTGCGCTTGAAGCAGCAATAGAGAACCTGCCAGAACAACTGCGACCAGCACGGCTCAGGGGCACAAACACTCACTAGACTAGAGGGAGCTGCTTTGTTGATGTGGCCATTGTTTTCCAGTGCGTTTGTTGGGGATGGCTCCTTTCGTAACGGTTCATGATGAAACAACTATGACAAAGCTCTATACTTCCTCGAGCTTCACACATTCCAATCTTACAAGGAATTTGATGATTCAGAGCCCATCTCACGCTTCCCAACCATCTCTCCAGTCTCTCCAAACACCTTCCGCTGTGTTGGCTTCAAACCATCCATGACCGATGGGACGCTTCGCATCAAGTCCTTGATCTGTTCGAAAAACGTGTATCAGAACTATGCTCTAGAAAGAACATTCCAGAGAGAAGGACCGCGTAAATGGCGTCAATCCTATGGGTCCTACATCAATACGTATTATTCACAGAAATTGACAAACATATCCCAAAATAATCCCAAAATAAACTGTTGCATGCCAAGGATCATAGCGAGAAAACTGAACCAGCTCTTTGTTCACCTCATCGGTCACTGGATGTTGAATCCGAACTGAAAGAATCTGAAAGAGCTTGATGATCTTGATGGAAGTCCACGGAAGTCCTGGTTTCCGCTGGTTCTGAGCTAAGCCTTGCACAAAGTCTTCATATGAGACGGCTCGCTTGGAGTGGTCCACAAAAGTACCCTCCTACCGGGTTTCACTTGGCTTGACCATGTTGAACCCTCTGGATACAAAACAGCCTGGCTTTGTGCCTGGAGCCCGGACAACATCTTGACTAATGTTCCCACAGTTTCTTGGCTTTTTTCATAATATGTTCATCATTTTCCAATATTGCAATTCAGAGCCTGGTATTTGTTCATCCAGGTCTTGCGATCATCGGCACGTCCCTTGTTGAACGCCATGTCAATGAGCTTGTTTTCGCTGTTTCCCTTCCACCTCCAGGCAGCCATTCAGCCATGCAACGTTGGAATTTCATGCATTCATTTCAACATGAATCAACATTGCATAGTTTGCTCCATGCCAGCATCGAATGAGTATGGCCTGAGAGCAAGTGCAGCCAGTGAGCATCGGTTTCATCATTTACACTATTTCACACCTTCCATTCTCTCAATCTAGATTTTTAGATCGCAAGATATTTTAACTCGCTAGCAGCTGGTGGGCCTGAAATCAATTCGATGATCTTGGATCTTGCCAAAATAGTCTTTGGCTTCTGCCGCTGTACTGGTACCAAGACCTTTGTAGTACTTGATCTTCCATCCTGCACCATCCTTGGTCTTTTTCTTCCACTTTTCGTATTCCACCATGGTGAAGAATTGCAAGACTTTACCATCTTTGGTAGCCTTCACGATTGGGGTAATGAACTGCTGCAGGAATCCTTGCTTTCCTCTGAGCCTCACTTGGAGCCACGGATTTGCCACGGCTGCAGTTCGGCACATGGATGTTGGCAAGGCAAGAGTATTGACGAACAATGGCAAAGATGAAGACATATTATAATGGATTATTGCAGAGTTTCCAGGCAACGGCACTGTTGAAAATCCACTGTTGAATGAAATCTCTCAAGCAATCTTCAGCTTGCAGCTTAGCCACAGGTCAGGCCAAAAGTAGTGGAAGAAGTTGATGAGAAGTCCCTTGATGTGGGAGCCATCGTAGTCTTGGTCTGCCATGATCATGACCTTCACTCAAAGCTGACTGCCAAGCATAGCCAACTTAACATTTGCATGGAACATTGCAACTGGACTCAGTTCAACTGATGACGTGATATTTCTAACGCCAAGACAGTAAAAGCACGCAAGTAAAAAGGGATGCATCCCTGAAGCACAGCGACAAAACAAATCTGGATCGGTTCCAGCTAGTTGTGACTGACTTGCAGTCGTTGGAAACATCGTTGGCACCTTTCCATATCGCAAGTCTTTAGATGACTTCTTGTCGAAAGAAAGGCCCAGGATCTTCACAATGTTCATGGCCTCAAAGCCCGAATTGTTGGTCCCATTGGTCCCTCACAGAATTCAAACGGCATGCACTGAATAATGACGTTTCAGCTGCAAGCCAAATAGCTTCTTTATTCTCTGCGAGGGATTTCTGGTTCAGTTCGCGGACATTCAATAGCTTTCCCCTGAGTGGAAAGACCTGAGTTGAAACTCTTGTTCCGATCCGTTCCCCAGTTTCTTTGCGTTCTTTCTTTGCAATCTGACAATCTGACTAGCAGTAATGCAGCTTGTCAGTCATGGCAAGTTTGAGCATTTGCAGCTGGAAACATTTACATGACTGCAATCAACAAATGAGGCAGGCTCCCCGTACTTGTCGCGTCCAAGCATTGCCAAACCAGCAACAGCCAAAGCTTTGGCACTGTCTCCCTCCGTCAAGATCAAGGTGCAGTCCTTTCAATCTAAGACATCTCTGAGATTCATAGTCTTTCACAAGCTGTATGTGAAATACAGGGGTGCTATGGTACCGAGGGTATATTGATGTCGCCATCATTCACTTATAATATATTATATATACATGATATGCACATACAATATAGATAAAACATAATGTATATATATATATAAATATAATTATCATCAATATGACAAATATATACAAATGTAGCACATATGTAGCACTTTTGTAGTATCCAAGTAGTGGAAGCTCAAAGGACTGACCGCCTCTCCTTGGAGTGATTGCCACCTGGATGCAGGACTGAGAAATCCTAAGAATGTCCCACACGGTCCCACACAACGCATCAAAATGCAAGTGGCATCAAGTGGCCATCTGTTATGAAATGTTATGAACCATCTCGGCCAATGCGAACCATCTCAGTTTGAGCGCTTGAGGATCTCTGCTTCACACAGACTGGTTTAGGATTCCACTCTGCCAAGCCTGCTTCGTTTGCATCTTCCAACTTGGGAATGCCCAACCTAACAAGCTCACAAGGTCGCCACCAAACTCATGGATGAACCCAAACGAAACCAACGGGATGAGACGTCTTCAACTGAATCTCAGGCCAGCACACTCGCTTTCCGTGACTTGCCTTGGAGACGTTCTTGTCCATCATCAGCGTAAGTTTTGATTGTGCCTGCTTGCGTAAAAACCCAGGGCAAATCCCAGTCAGTGCCGTGCTAGATCGGATGCATCCAATGCACGTTTTGCACACTGTACACATTGAAATCAATGGAGTATACAGTATACAAGAGCTGTACAGCTGTAGTTGTATGTAACAAACAAACCTGTTCGATCCTTTTCGTGTTAACTTATACAAAGATATACAAAGCATCATGCATTCGCTTCTGAAGGTTCCGTGTATTTCCGTGTGACCTAGTTTAATCTATTTTGGTCTATTTTGGGTCTATTTTCTAATCCTTCCTAGGTTGCTGCAACTCCTCTTGCTGGTTTGTCTGGTTTTGCCGACAGCAACAAATTGATCGTGGAATATCTTGGAATATCTTGGAATATTGGGCAGAAACAACATATTGCTATGTGGTGTGTGAGTACCGGTAAAGCATGGTAAAGCTAAAGCATGATCCTGGAATTGTTTCTGTGTCGCACCATTGATGCTTCACAGCTCCCCCGCAGATCGGCCTCTGAGATGACTGCATCCACAATCCCAGTGTTGTTAACAATCTGAGACAGGCAGAACTGGGATCAGCCAAGCGGAACTGAGACAAGACATGACAAGACCACAAACGCAAACGCAAAATTATCAAAATGCAACAATAAGATCAATAAGTTCATGTTCATCAAAAGAGGCGTTCTGCGAGTGAAACCGAACGCCTCATCAATGAAGGACCGAGGCAAGCTGCATGTGCTCCCGAACTGTGAGACCTGCAAGCTTGGCAGTGACTGACTCAGTGGAAACATATGGATCCATAATGATCCATATAGATCCGTGTAGTTGGCATGCAAATGCAGCATGAGAAGTCTCAAAATCTCATGTCTCACGAAAAGGACATCAACAAATTTGAGAAGGTCCCATCGCTTACCACACGTTTGCACAAAAACGATGTATGGCAAATTTGGGAGTATCGCTTAAAGATGCTTAAAGATGATGTTTGTGCAGAGGTATGACATAACCTCAAGGGGCCACCACTATTTGGGAGGGAAGGTCCCATCGCTTACCTGATGTTTTCGTACAAATTCTGAATCCAATGTTCGTTCCTTACATGCTTCCTGTTGCCAGAGTTTTTGCTGTGGCTGACATCCTGAAGGTCTCCAAACGCTCTCACATGGTATAGCAACGTGACATAACGTGACAGCAAAGCTCACATGGCTCACCTTGAGCGTCATCTGTTCCTTCGTCTGAGAGCCGAAGGCGGGATTTTCGATCAGGCCTTAGTGACTTCTTCGTGACTGTAGTGGGCCTTCCCGTGGGCCTTCCCAGTGGGCCTTCCCAGTGGGCCTTCCCAGTGGGCCTTGCAAAGTTCCGCCAAGGGACAGTTGACAAAGAGCCACAAATGACTCTTCACATGCCTCAAATCCAACTCAAAAATCAGACGTCTTCTACTGTGAGGTTGTAAGGCCATGCATGTTCCGCCAGGCTGCACTCGCTTGATCTCTGTACCTTTTCCGGCCTGCTTGCTTGCCTGAAAGGAAGATAAGGAAGGTTTGTCCACAGAAATCCACGAAATACTTCTCAAATAACTCGAGATTCAGAGCAGAGTGCTCGTGCAAAGTCGAAAAGGCTGGCCGCCTTGCTCAGAATTGCGTCTATCAACTGATCCAAGATGTAGTTGACATGCCTTAAGTGATGTGAGCCGGGTTTGATCCATCCAATGATACAGTAGCAGCTGCTTGCAGGCTCTAGCTAAACTTGAGCAACCCGACTTCATGCAGCCTTCATAATTTAAAGGCAAGGGATGTAGCAACCCTCTATTTCTCATGCCCAACGCAACATCAAACCATTCTTAACATTTCTGCACTGCTCTAAAAGGATCAAAATACCCCAAGGCATTAAAGCATTGACCACCTGTGGGCAAAATCGACCCAGCCGACCCAGCCTTCCCTAAGTCAGAAAGTCCGCTTGGGAGTAGGTTGAGGTGGAACCTCTGGATATTCCCTGACCTTCCTCTGCATGCTTGCCCCAGCCACGTCCCTCCTTTTGGGGTGCTGATAGCATTCACGAAAGAGTTCTGCTCAAAGCCATCTCCGTCAGACCTTGCCACCAGCACCTCACAGTGTCGAAATTGCCTTGGACATTTTGGATTTCACATGATTTCATGGTGTATCACTTCGGGCACGTTATCGATCGTTATCGCATCCTATGTGCCGCATAATCTGCATATCATCAACTTTGACCTTTGACTCCCAGACCTGCCAGCGCTTGCCGATTTGTGCAAATGCATGTCCATCTCCATTGTGAAAGTAGCTGCAGTAGTCGACAAAGTTCTTCACTGGAAGCTTTCCTGAGATGTTCTGTCGACAACTGCCCCACTGCCCAGATTCAAAAATGTCAAAATCATGCTGTGCAGAGTCATATGATTTTCCAACCAAGGCACGGCCATTCAAATAGACACTGCAACGATCTCCACTCGTCCCTGTCAAGGCAGTCAAAGCCAACTAGCAAACATATATGAAATACCGAAATACCCAACAAGTACTAAATACCCAAGAATTATATCTGTATATATATATATGATATTATTATATTATTACAGTATATTATATTATATGATATTATATTGTATTATATCATATCATATGATATCATATCATATCATATATACGTATATACGTAATATTATATACACATATAATTATCTATCATGTATATATATATATTGTGGATTTGCAGTCACTTGTGCATGATCTGAATGTAAACTGGAGGTCGAATACATGGTCGTATTGACATAATTCCTTGGGGCTTTGCAACATTCAGCTACTGCCGTTGAAGGTGGCGGCTCAACTCCTTGTTGAGGGCTTAGGGTAGGGCCCCTTTGCCTTGTACGACCGGGCTCGTACTTTCCGGCGCTGCCATAGCAAAAGGTGCTTTCGCTCCGGTGGGCGTACTTGGTGGAATTTGGATTGGACCTGGGGTCCTTGGTGAATTTGAATAGGAAAGGGGCCCGCTTCCAGTGTTTGGTTTGGCACCAACACTGGTAGCGGAGCTACCGTAGCCGGAAAGCCTGGAAACAACAGAATCTCCACTGTGATTTACGGGTGCTTTCTGCAAGCTACAGATCCAGGATGTCTGAAGGTACAGAAGCGGTGGGTGCCATCCAACCATTGGGAGTCCAAGGGAATTCATCCTTGACTCACCTCCCATGGGCAATGATACCATCGTTCAAACCTGGGGAGACGGACATCAACGAGTACACGAAGAAGCTTGAGTTCCTAGCAGGTCTTTGGCCACCAGAACATCTCAGTCATTTGGCTCCACGAGCCGCAATGCTTTGTGAGGGTTCCGCATTCAAGCGGATCATGCGTTTGGATCCAAGTAAACTGAAGGTGGGCACACTGGATGGGGTCAAACTGATCGTTTCCACACTTGGTGGAATCTGGGGCAAAAGCAAGCTTGAGGACAAGTTCGAAAGGTTCGAGAGGGCCATCTTTACGACGGCCCAACGACAAGATGAATCTCATGAGAGCTATTTAGCTCGCCACAACTACCAGTTCGAGGAGCTTTTGCAGATGGGGGTGGGCTTTGAAGAAGTCCGCGCATACATTCTTCTTCGAAATTCTGGCCTCAGCTCGGAGGACAAAAAGAAGTTGATTGTGGATGCTCAGGGAGCCCTTGAATACAAATCCATAGTATCATCACTGAAACTATTGGGGTCAAAGTTTTTCCATGAGCTTCAAACTGGTTCCAGGACGTCAAGCCGTAGCAAAACATATGATGTGAATGCAGTGTTTGATGATGAAATTCCAGCGTTTGCAGCCGATGAAGAATCAGTTTATGTAGGCGATGCATGGGAAGACCCAGAGGTTGTCTATGATGAGAACGACCCTGATGCAGTGGTGTGTATGCAGTTTGAGGATAGTTTGGTAGAGGCCATGCAGTCAGACCCAGACCTCGCATCATGTTTCAACACATACATGGATGCCAGGAAACGTTTGTCTGACCGAAACAAAAATCGCGGCTTTTGGAACAGCTCCAAAGGCAATTCTCAGTGGCAGAAAGGGAAGTTCAAGGGCAAGGGGAAGGGATCGTTTAAGGGTCGAAAGCCTCTCGCCCAACGGATCTTGGAGTCCGAATGCCGCAGATGCGGTGTTCGTGGTCACTGGAAAGAAGAATGCCCTCTGAACCGTCAGGGGTCAGCAGGGCAGTCTGGTAGCAACAGTGCCAAAGAAGGAGCTTTCGCAGGTACAATCACCTCGATTAGCCCACAGAATGATGACGACGTAGACATGATTCCCATCCACAGCCACCAGGATGTTGCTCATCTGAAGACTAGTCATGGAACATGTTGCATGGTCATGAGTAGTCATACACCAGGGTCGTCATGTCATGCTAGTGCCTCCCTCAGTCAGGGTCAGATGTCCAGGTTTTTGAGCTTGTTGAAGAAGCGCCTAAGCCCTCAACTTCCGAGATCTCCTGAGCCTGAGTCCGCAACCGTCCCAGCAGATGAAGCCGATGTAGCCATGTTTGTGAGTCATGGGCCTTATGGAATAGTTGACCTCGGTGCCAGTCAGTCCATAATCGGTAGACAACAAGTCCATGCACTACTGTCTTGTCTTCCAGAAGAGGTTAAGATGAAGGTCCGTGAAGTTCCCTGCAGCACCACTTTCCGATTCGGAAACAGCAGTACAGTGAACTGTCGACATGCCCTGCTCATTCCTTTGTCCAGGTGGTTGGTGAAAATTTGTGTAGTGGATTCTCAAACTCCTTTTTTGATTTCCAACAATGTGTTTAGAACGCTGGGGGCTTCGATAGACACAGCACAGGACGCCGTTTCATTTGCAAAACTTGGATTCTCCATGAAGCTTTCACTGTCGGAAAAGAAGCTGTACCTACTCGATTTTTGCCAGCTTGTGAGCCGTGCCCAGACACCAGAGTTTGTCTCAAAGAATCCTACCGATAAAGAACCACCCGTCATGCATGTGCATAATATAACCGGTAGTGATGCATGTACAGAAAACCTCTGCAGTGTGGCTAGCCTGCCAAGCAATTCGATCGAGTTTCCATACGCTCAGAACTCTGGTGATCAAGTGACCACAGACCATGTCGGCGCTGTCGTTGGTCGAACGCTTCTCCAAGGTGACCGAGAAGAAGAATCAGGACGAGTTCCTGAAGATGTCCTATGCCGATCTGTCGGAACAGAGGATCACCTTCGGCGAGGCCAAAGTGAATCAGCGCTACATCGATGTAGTCCAGCAGGATCCCAAGTATGTGAAATGGTTCACAGGGAAGTACCAGGACAGCCAGAAGCCGGGTCATCGCTCCTTCCTCTTCTTCATCAACATGTATGTGGAACGCATGGAGCTGACCCAGGGGACAGATCAGACGGGGTCACCTTACAACAGCCCAGTGCAGAGGACCCTGAAAGCCAAGTCAAAGAGCGCCCCTCGGGCATCATCTCCTCCGATCGAGAGGTCGGAGTGGTCGGACGACGAACTCAGTCGTTCCTGGAGCGTGGAGGACGAGGTGAATCAGCAAGGCCACCGTCTCAACAACATGGAGAGCACCTTGGCCCAGATCGCGCAGCAGATGCAAGTCCTAACCCAGATGGTGACTCAGCACCATCAATCGAATGTCCAGCTGAACTGAGAGCCGGAGAAAATGAGCTGGAGTTCCGATCACTGATTTGTGATGAGATCGGCTGTCAGGCAGTGGTTCAACAGTTATCTGATGTGAATGATGCTGCTTATTTTCATGATGTTTTGTTACAGCAAAGTGAAAAACACAATTGGGTCTATGAAGAAATGTGGACATATTGGAAGAAGAAATTCTCATGGATGAAAGCGGAAGAAGTGAGACAACATTGGTCCGTTTCCAAATGCGATTTGTTAGAAGTTTATTGCTCTGAAGACAGCCAGCTCACCAAACAAGCAGTGTCCAATGGCCTTAAGGCTTTCCGATTTGGCCTCCGGCATGGAGATCTTTCGACCTTTCTGGGACGCACAAGATTGTATGATGTGTTATGGATTTGTCGACCGAAACACATTTGGACTTCTCCTCGCTGTGGACCGTGGAGTCAATGGAACCATCTCAATGCAGGGAAATCAATAGCATTGGCCGAAAGAATCCAGCAAGATCGCCGATCCGAAAGTGTGCATTTGCTCTTATGTGATGGATTGTTCCGCCTGCAAGACTGGAGAGGAAGCACTTTCCATTTCCACCTCGAACAGCCACAGGGTTCCGAGTTGGTCCATCAGGATGAGGTTGAAACTTTAGTGAAGAATACTTTCAAAGCTGTGTGTGACATGTGTGTCGCAGGACAACTTCGACATCCAAACACCCAGGAATTCCTTAGAAAAAGAACGCAAATCCACACCACTTCCGAAATCATGTGGCATGTGATTCAGAAATTTCAGTGCGTAGGCCATCATCATCATGATCCCATAGCAGGGTCCTGCAAACCTCAGGGATATCCCAGAATGAACCTAACCAAGTACACTGAAATGTATACGGCGTTGTTTGGTCGCCGTCTCAGCCGTGCCATGCAATGCAGTAATCAAGTTCAGGAAAAGACCATTGGCCATCGTCACCTGTCGGTTTTTGCAGTCGACACTGTTCATGAGGACCCAGAACCCAAACGTCGAAGGCTGTCAGGTAAATTCCATCCGGAGCATTTGTTTGTTCCTGCTGAGCCGAGTTCGTCTAGCCCAGCCAATCCTGAGACCCTCAGGATGCATGCTGACGAAGCTGTAAACTCTCACAGTGTTCCGACCGTTTCCAGACTTCTTGAGATCGCTGAACATTGTGCTCCAAGGGTAGGAAAGGTGGTGTTTCAGGATGGTCCTTTGTTTGAAGCAGCTCAGACTAGGTACCCTGACAAGGTCATCGTTGCAATTGATGTATGCCGCGGAATTGACAAGCTCAGAATCTGTCCAATAGGGTCCAAAGGATTAGCTCCATTCCGTAGGTCAGTAGGCAAACGTCGAAGCGATCTACAGGCCTTTGAAGATGAGTCCTGGGAAGCCTGGGAGGAACTTTCGAAGCGTCAGCAAGTCCGAAAGGGGACACCGTCGCGTTTGCTTGTCACGATTTTTGCATCCAGCAAACGTGCCAGTCACCATACCCAGCTGGAGGATTCCGAGTCTAAGAGGATTTGTCCATCAAGTCAGAACAGTGGTGTTGACAGTAAAGGTGTCATGTCCGAAGATGTTCAACCCAAAGATGTGCCTGTATCTCAACCTGATAAGCCTGTGGACACCTCCTCTGAACACATCGCATCCGACCGGAAGTCCCAGACTGAGGCAGACTCTGTGAAATGCCGACAACATGGTCCCAAGTTCCTTGCGCTTGAACTCCACGACCAGAACGCCATTAAGAAGATTCATCAGAACTTGGGCCATCCGGACAACAGAGTGTTGCAACTGGCACTTAAGCGCTATGGATGGTCCGATCGTGCGGCCGCAGCCTGTACAGATTTTGTTTGTCCTGCCTGCATGGAGCAGCAATTGCCCAAGATTGCAAGACCTGGCAAGTTGTCCCAACCAAGAGACTTCAACGACCACATTTCATTTGACGGAGCCGAATGGCGTGACCCAAACGGTAAAGTGTACAGTTTTTATCACTTCATTGACAGTGCCACCAACTACCATGTTGCCATTCCATATCAACAAAGGACAACCCAAGGTCTCATAGATGCTTTCACTGATGCGTGGCTCCGTTGGGCCGGCCCCCCCAAAAGTCTGATGTTTGACAGTGCAACTGAAGCTAACAGTGAGGGATTTGGTAAGTTCTTGCAAGACCATGCCATCCAGAGCTATGTGATTCCTACTGAAGCCCATTGGCAGTTAGGCAGAGCCGAACGACATGGTGCCACGCTCATGCGTATGATTGATAAATATCATGCGGAACGTCCCATATGTAACCATGATGATTTCAATCAATGCCTAGTTCACCTGTGTCATGCCAAAAATGCCATGTCCCGACATGAGGGTTATACTCCCGAGTTATGGGTGCTTGGGAAAATGAAACCTGTTCCAGGTGGGAATTCCAATCAGTACCTGGACAGTGCCAGTTTCAGTGGTTTAGATGATGCAACAACTGAGGGCAGCCGCTTCCAAGAACTCATGGCACGTCGTGAAGCAGCCCGAGTTGCGTTTGTCCGTGCGGACCACTGTGCCACCTTGAGAAGAGCACTTCATGCCAGATCCAGACCTGATAGGATTGGTTTTCAAGCAGGTGATTTCATCATGTATTGGAAAGATGGCAAAGGTGCCGAGAAGGGAGCCTGGCATGGGCCGGCAAAAGTCTTGATGTTAGAGGGTCCCAATTAGGTTTGGATCAGTCACATGACACGTCTCTTCAGGTGTGCTCCTGAGCATGTTCGCCTGCTGTCTGCCGACGAAGCCAGGGTGATCCAAAGCCAAGACCATCAAATGTTTCAAATGCCTAGTCGCAGTGGAACTGGAGTCTTCCAATATCGAGAGTTGTCCCAACAGGCTGGTCCTCCACAGACGTTTCCTGAAAATCCTCCAGGGAATACCGGGAACCAGAATAACATTTCAAATAATCCTGAACCTGAAACCCTTATAATCCCAAAGAACCCCAACGTCAATAATCCAAATGTAATGAATCAAATACCTGAACCTGATGCACTCGAATCTACAGGTCAACCTGATGATGAACCAACTGTGCCTTCCACTCCGGTTGCTGAAGATCCCGCCATCACCATACCTATTCCCGATGAAACAGATGATGATTTATTCACAGATACACATGATCACGATCATTGGAAGATTGAAGGAAACATCCTCAAGAGGATTCATGTGACCCCTCGGCTAAAGCCTTTCTTTCCTCATGATGCATGGAAATGTCCTGTCGAGGCTGATTGTCTGGACCCAGTTAGAATAACCACCGGAACATACGTGTCAGGTGGACCATTACGTCGTGAGGAGCCCTGGACAGACAATGTCATGAGCCATACCCCTTTTCCTGAGCCATGGACAGGTCAAACCCAATTTCTGATCCGTGACACTTCAAGAAAGATTGAGACTTCTAAGCTTGCCATGTCACATGAAAATGCCGAAGAATCTCCCAAGGAAAGTCATCAAGTTTTAGTTGCCGAAATCGAGATGAATAGAGATGATTTCAACAAATGTTTGGGAAGAACGTATGACTATCAAGAAACATATCTCGCATCTGCAGCCAAAAGACAGAAAGTAGAAGTGAAGCTTAAGGAACTCAGTCCGGAAGATTTGAAGCTTTTCAAACAGGCCAAAGAAAAGGAGATTGAGTCATGGCTAGCCACTGATACTGTGCGTCGCATACTCAGGAACCAAGTTCCAGAGGGACAATTGCTGCGATCACGATGGGTGTTAACTTGGAAACCGCTAGATGAAGAAGACCAAAAATCACTTGGAATGACCCGAAAAGCCAAAGCTCGCCTTGTGATTCTAGGTTATGAGGATCCACTGATTGACACCTTGCCGAGGGATTCACCGACTCTTGGCCGTGACAGCCGAATGCTTGCGCTTCAGTGCATAGCCAGCTACCGTTGGACGGCCCGGTCCTTTGACATACGGACGGCTTTTCTGAGGGGCAGCAGGCAGGATTCTCGAATCCTGGGAATCGAACCCCCTAGTGAGCTGAGAATAAAAATGGGCCTGAAGGAGAACGAAGTATGTGAACTGCTGAAAGGAGCATACGGCCTGATCAATGCCCCTTTATTATGGTATTGCGAACTCAAGAATGCATTATTAGCCCTGGGATTCCTCATATCACCCATGGACCCATGTTTGTCCTACCAAAGAAGAAACCTGACTTGAATAGCGATGAGCCACAAATACATGGGGTGCTTGGTATTCATGTAGATGACGGAATTGGGGGCGGAGACACAGTTTTTGCGCATGCCATCAGCAGTTTGGAAAAACGTTTTCCGTTTGGCAGTCAACGACAAGGATCCTTCACTTTCACTGGTGTTCAACTCTCACAGGAGGTTGGTGGAGATATTGTTTTGAGTCAACAGGGCTACATCAATGACATACCTCCCATAAATGTCAGTAGGGATAGACGCCGCACTCCTGAAGCCCCTATCTCAACCCAAGAACTACAAGACCTGAGAGGTCTGATTGGGAGCCTTCAGTATGCAGCATCAAATACACGTCCAGACCTGTCTTGCCGTTTGAGCTTATTGCAAGCTCGTGTGACTTGTGCGACAGTATCAGATCTTCTTCAAGGGAATCGAATTTTGGCTGATGCTAAGAAGTTTTCCGATACAGAAATTCGTATAAAATCCTTGCCTCCCAAACAAGTTAGATTCATATCATTTTCAGATGCAGCATTCGCGACGCGTGAGAAAGCGCATTCTCAGAAGGGTTGTCTGATTCTAACCACTACGGGCGACATTGATCAACTAAAAGCAGCTCCAGTGAGTCCTCTCATTTGGTTTTCCAAGAAGATCAATCGAGTTGTTGCCAGCACACTGGCTTCCGAGACATATGCTTTGTCTGGTGCGCTTGATTTACTGAGCTGGACCAGATTGCATTGGGCCTGGATTTTAAATCCCTTTCTGAACTGGAAGGTGCCTGAGATCGCTCTGAAAGGTCTACCACCAGCCTTTGCAGTAGTAGATTGCAAAAGTCTGTTTGATTTGCTCCAGAAAACATCGATTCCACAATGTACTGAACACCGTACGGCCCTTGAGGCGTTGGTAATCCGAGATCGGTTGAAAGAGGGAGTTTTAATTAAATGGGTTCACAGTGCCGCCCAGATGGCCGATAGCTTGACTAAAGACATGGACACCACAGTTTTGCGCTCCTTTTTGGCCAGAGGTAAGTGCATACTCCATGACATCGACGAAATCCTGAAGCAAAGAGCTGACAAGAAAGTCAGATCTCAATGGTATCAACAGTCCAGTGAATATGAGTCAGGCTTGCATGCTTTTGCGATGTTCCTGGGCATTTTGTGAGACTCCAGATCCGAAGTGGTTGGAACTTTCAACGGATGCCCGTATGCTGCACCACCTGACGGGTCAAGCCTCAGTGATCCAAGTTTGGTTGCCTGTGCAATTTTGATTGGAACTTTTCGACAATCTCCTCCTCTACAAGATTACATTTATTCATTTTTCAGATTACAGAATTTTTAGGAGTGTGGATTTGCAGTCACTTGTGCATGATCTGAATGTAAACTGGAGGTCGAATACATGGTCGTATTGACATAATTCCTTGGGGCTTTGCAACATTCAGCTACTGCCGTTGAAGGTGGCGGCTCAACTCCTTGTTGAGGGCTTAGGGTAGGGCCCCTTTGCCTTGTACGACCGGGCTCGTACTTTCCGGCGCTGCCATAGCAAAAGGTGCTTTCGCTCCGGTGGGCGTACTTGGTGGAATTTGGATTGGACCTGGGGTCCTTGGTGAATTTGAATAGGAAAGGGGCCCGCTTCCAGTGTTTGGTTTGGCACCAACAATATATATATAATACATACGTATACATACATACAAATTCAAACCTTTCAAATTTTCCCTGACCTGCAATATCGTAGACCCGTCGCATCATCAGCGCAAGAGTGTCAGCCTGCGTATGGTGGAGCATGGCGGCACAATGCATAGCCCCAAAAGCGGTTCCAGCAAATACTTTGGAAAACTACGAAATAATATTTTCATGAATTCTTTGAAGATCTTCAAAACACTTTTCAAGACTCAAGAACCCTCAGCTGCATTCCACCGTTGTCCCATGCTGTCTAATCCCAAATGTCCTCAAGTTCCTTCATCCCAAACTTTGCCAAGTCCTTGGAGCCACAATGAGCTCTCTTGGACTTGAGCCATTCCAAACAGCTGTGACAACTGGATGATTCTGGATGATAATGATAACAAATAATGATAACAAATGGACAGCTATGGACAGCTATGGACAGCTGGAGGATACGGATGCTGCCAGAGGTCCGGCCAAAACTCAACAGAAGTGTAAGAACTGCCCGCTGATCCCCTCAGACCACGATAATTCGACAGCTGTGATGTCTCTCTTGGATGGTCACCAAGTCTCACGAATGCATCGCAATAAAAACACAAAAATAATGCTGCCGGCAAGCTTTGTCACATTTGGCTTTCCTTTCTTGCCTGAGAGCTCTCTCTGTTGCTCAATGGTTTCATTGTGTAAATCTGAACCCTGAAAGCCAACGACAAGGGAAACACACAAACAGCACAAACATGCACTCATGGAATCTTTCTGGCATTATACTCTGCAAGGCTTTTTGACCCAAATGTCTCACCCAACTTCTAAAGTATTGTAGCACACAAGTTGATTTGGATCGATAAACTGAGTGAGAGACTCATGTTGTTCGTCCACTCCTGCTTGTACTTCTTACCTCCACCTGGAAGCAAGGAAGAAGGGAAGTAACTCGCACTCCCTTCGCTTTTTCAACCACGATTTGCTCCGAGTATTTAAGTGCAAACGTGCTATAGCTCCTGCGATTCGTCACGTTCTGATAGTGAATGCAAGGAGCAGCAAACCATGTTGAAATATGTTGAAGTAAATCTCTTCAAATCAAAGCAAATCGGGAAATCGGGTTCTTTCACAAGCCAGCCAATCCTGCAGTCTCGATGACAAACTTCCTCGGAAACATCATGAAACGCGTTAACTTTTCTGGCAACTGAAGGCATATTTGTCCGTCCAAAATGTGACAATCCGAAGCCCTCAAAACATGCACCCATCTGGGGCATTCTGGGGCCGTGTTGACTTTGCAAATCAAGCGTCTTGCTGAACACATTCGTCAATTTTGCGCCATAACCGTTGCGACCTCCTGTGACTTTTCCTTGGATCCAAATCTACTGGACGAGAGAACATTTTGGAATATCCGATAGAAGACAAATCTCAGTGGTAACCAACAAACCAGTCCGATACTGATGATACCACAGTTGGAGAAAGCAGCTATGGTTGCAAGTCTTGTGCTGCGCCATATACGCATACCGGTAGGAGCAACATGATCTTGTCGGGCACTCAGGAGTTTCTGCTTCCCTTCCTCCAGTCCATTTGCATCCCAGGATCGTTCAGAATCATCATAATTGTCACTTGTCAGCAAGTGACCAAAGACCAGTTCTGGAACAAAGACTTTGTATTTCTTGTGCCTCAGATGCGGAGCAAGTTCCTCGTTTCATAAGTGCAAGGCAAATATGCGATCAATATAAGGACGGGGCAGCTGTATTGGAATGCCTTTGCCATCGTTCCAAACACGGATCCTTCCTTGCTGTGGCAGGTTACAAAATGTTTCAACACATTATGCAAATAGCCCTTACAAACGGCAACCAAAGAGGACTGGAATTGGCTTTCACACCGCGTACAAAAAGTGCCTTCAGATTGGAACCCTTTCTGGAACGAGGAGTTCTTCGATGCAGCACATTGTTTTCCATGATTTTCCTCTACCCTCGATGGCTTTTGTACGTGCTCAATTCCAAAGTAAATGTCGAGATATGCAGAGATATCTACCTTTTCAAAGACATGCATTTTCTTTTTGCTCTGCTTTCTCACTACGCATCTCTGTCTTGCCCACCACTCTTCCCTACTATACGCCTTCACTCCAGGTCAGCATCGACTTGTTGTTTTTGGTCCTCCTACATCTTCCTACATTACTTCTTGAAAAGGAATCCTTGCCTAGCTGCTCAAGGTTCATCGCTGGGTACAACACTTCTGATGAGCATCAGACTTTCTAAAATGCAAAAATATCCCATGTCAAACTTGCTGGCCTTTGGACTTGTCAATGTCCACTTTGATGACCTGTACCAGAGCCAGTTGGTGCACGCAAATGCTCCAAGAAGAAACTTGTCAGAACTCTATGGAATTCTTAGCACCTTCATTTTGGGATCTCTCTGTAGGTTGTCGGCCGCGTTCACAAGGATTTCGTCAAAGACTTTGTACAAAGCTGGCACATAGCTGATGTCCTTGTACTGCATCTCCTCCTGCAGCTGGACAAAAAAGGAACGTCAACCGCAAAAGAACACTGGCAGTGAAGATGTCCTAAGATGTCCTAAGACATGCCAAAACATCCCAAGAAGTAAGCCACAGTAAACACATTCTTTGCCAGTGCCTTCTTCTCATTCCAAACCCACAAAGACTCATCCTGAGGGCCCAAGATGCAGCAAAAACAGTCATCCGAAACATCCGAAACCTGTTCAGATCTATGAAGAGTCGATGTGGATATTGTATGATATTGTTGTATTAGATAATTGTATCATGTTGTATCAGTTCTATCATGTTCTATCGGTCCTGGTGCTCAATCGATCCAACATACGTGTCTGGACGCAGAAGGATGTGTTCTACCTGGGCAAGTGTTCATCATGTACATGGGACCCAATCGGTAAGCCGCACAGTACATTCCCAGTCATTCCCCCCACATCAGAGACATGCTGCCATGTCATATTCTATTCATCTCTATTCAATGTTCATACTCTTACGGTATCTCATCATACTCATACTCTGACAGTTTTCCGCGCCTGGGTCTTTTTTTGGTAGGTCTGTTCCACGCTTTTACTCTTGCGAAGTTTTGGAGGCGGCGACATGCCAAAGTCCTCATCTTTGGCACCTAAACAAAACAACACTGACTTGGCTCACGCGTGGCACAGTGGCACATCCATGTTTTCGGGCCTGAAGTTGTACGTCCTCGACCTTTTTTCTGTCCTCGACCTCTTCCGCGACTGCGGCTCCTGCAGTTTCCAAAGCGTGATTAAGTAGTCTCCTCCGCCATCTGCACGTTGACTGATTCTAAAATGTGTGGTTTTATGTAATATATATATATATTAATATGTGTATATATATATATATACGTACGTAAATACAATTGTAGAACACAAATGTTGGCAGCATCTTAGCATCTCGGCATTTCTCAAGATTTCTGTTATATTCTGTCCAGCCTTCCCCGAGGCATTGCAGGTGGCAAAGCGAGAGATGGGGACAAGACCTTCGAATACCTTTGATTTTGTGCGGCAACTATTTGTCGAATTCTGTTGGTTGGAAAATTGTGCAGATTTGTGCAGGTTGTATTTGTCTCTCAGATTCTAGCAGTTTCATTCTTGCATATTCTGTGCTTTTTCAAGTGTCTGGTTTAGTCACTGAGCTGCTATCGATGGAACATGGTAACATGATTGAAATACTATTGTAGCAAACTGTATCCACAGAGCATGATTTGCATCGGCTCTTTCTTCTGTGCTGAAACAGCTGCGAACAGGCTAGGTTTGCACTGAAACCAATGCGGAAGTGCCGAAGCAGCTTAAGTCTTGTGTAAAAATTGCTTTTGGCGTTGCAATGCAGTTGAAGGATGTTGAAGGTGGAAACCTGATGAAACATGGAATTGTATGGAATTGTGACGGATTCTGAAGGGCCTCAAGGCGTCCATGCTCACAAGCTAGGTGCAAAGGAGTCCAACCATTGCAGTCCAACACCTCAGAATGCTGAGAGTCCAAGTGTGCTTAAATTGCTTAATGTGTTTAGATATCTGTGTAACTCAAGTCTTGGCACCTCCAGTAAAACTCCGTGATCGTGCAAAAGACGGATAACCTGCCAGCATGGAGCACAGATTCTATAAAGACATCATAAGACATCTATCAAATGAAGCCCTTTTGAAAAAAAATATTGTGCCCTGATACATTTCTTTTCATTCCGCGTCTGTCTGGCGGCATCATCTCTGTTCCGCTGTTCCGCTGCTTCTGATGATGCTTTGTCATCTGGTGAAACAGCATCGTGTTTCTGACACCTTTTGACACTTTGAACTACGTGGAACTTCTGAAGGATCCAGCATCCAACTCGCCACTGTGTGATTGTTGATGATACGCTGACGTTTTAGTAGCGCCTTTTGATGAGGGCTTTTGTGGAGGGATGTTGAGGGGCAAGTCCAATTAAACTTCATCTGCCAGTTTGCCACAAAGTCCACGACATGCAAATGACCAAAGGACTCGCTGAGCTTCGGGAGGGCGCTCTCAGTCAGATGACACGATTGAATACGATTGAATACGATTGAATACGATTGAATACGATTGACAGGTAGCTCAAAGATGCTCCCAGGACGGTGACTAAATGAACTCGCCCTCTCGGAAACATCGTTGAAGGTGAACGCAAACTTGGTCACCACCAGAAAGCCACTGAACTTGGAATGTCTGCTCGTCAAACTGAAACCATGAAATCTGAAGGCTCTGGCGACTGTGATCTGGTTGAAGAGCCATTGTCAAGCGGCAAGCGGCAACTTGCTCAGCTGAAAAGGTACCCCGGAAAAACGCATTTCGCAAACTTGGGAAGCGTTCTGAGCTTTGTAATTGCCTGAGCACAGAAACGAGGGATACTCCAGCTGCTGATCGAAAGTAGCGTGTCATGTCCAACATGATCAAGTGATGCGCAGCACTTTGTATAGCCTTGAAAGCACCTGAGAAATCTGCCACACAACCCAAGCTCAGGCTTTTCAGGCCAAAACATTCAAGGGCTTGCTGCAAACCAGCTGATGTAAGCTGACTTCCTGGACGATACAAGGTGAGTGCCTTCAATCCTGGACACGCATTTGCAAGGACCCACAATGCCTTGTCAGAAATTCCCACAACACCACTCAACGACAAGCTATTTAACAACGGATGTCTTCCCATCGCGCCCATCAATCGTTCTCCCCCTTCAACCAATTCCAGAGGAGGTCCAGCCCTTTCAGAAATTTCCAAAGCTCGCAACTCTCCATGCTGTCTAAGTCTCTCTCCAGTGCCCTCACCAAACCCTCGAAGATTTCCTGCCAATATGTGTATCAGTGTCTCCTCAGTAATCTGGGAAGAAGTCCCAGCTCGAGTACATACCACTGCCAACTCCTGAAGTCGCAGATTTGCTAAAACAGACATACCATCACTGGTCAGATCATCATTTCCTTCGAGGGAAATGCTTTGCAGGTGCGGTGCAACTTCAACTGAGCGTTTCAAATTCTTGTCCTTCAGCGAGCGAAGCAAACACAACCGCAACTCTATCAAACTGGGAGGTAAATATTGTAAGAAGTCTCCTGTGACTGTACCAACTAGGTCATAGTCTGTCAGTTCAAGCCGATACAAGTTTGGGCATGACTTGAGCACAAAGGCAAGCTCTGCTTCACCTACACCTTCGCTCAGCCGCACAACAAGTTTGCGTACCAGAGCTCCGGCAATGCGGAATGCGTCAGCATGCTCAGGCAGCCAATCTCCTTCTACAAGAGCTCGAACGGAATTTTGCAAGCGAGGAAACCGAGACTTCAATGATGGCAAAAACTGGAGCGTTGGCAAAGGCGTGTCATCTTCATCATCTTCCAAGACTGCTGGAAGATCTGTAGCTGAGAATCCAGCATGCAACCACTTTCGGTCACAGGCAGTCACGGAAAAGACGTCTTTGATTGACAACGCACTCAATGTGTCAATAAGGCTGGATTCAGGCACATGGGCTAGGCTTACAGGTGAGGGACTGTCGACGCTTGCAGCCTCCATTGCTCCGTGCCCAACCCGGCCAAGAGTATCTTGTCACTTCTCGCGATGCTGCAGTTGCTGTAGTTGCTGTAGTTGCTGTAGTATGCTGTTGGCAGGCTATGAATGCCTGTGAATGCCTGTGAATGCCTGTGAATGCCTGTGAATGCCTGTGAATGCATGTGAATTGGGCATCATCAAGAAACTTCTGCGTTAGTGAAGCTTGTCGCAGGGGCTGTTGCTCAACTGCAAACATGTTTAATTTCTCCCAAGACTGGCATGTGAATTATGTGACTCAAATGCAGTGTGCGGATTGCTGCGAGGACGGATTGGATTTCTGATCGGATCCTTTCGATGTTTTTTCGAAGTGCTTGGAGCTTGGAATGACATTCCCCTATATGATCATTCACTGTTGGCAGTTTTTTGTTGACATCTTTCACATTCTTTCACCATAGTGAAGTGCGGACCAGGCCTGCTGCTGCCCTCCTTTGGCTGCTAAATGCACTGGACCTGAAGGGAAACATGCAGAAGCGCTGCAAAAATGGAATATCTATTGAATATCTCCTTTTCTTTCCTTGCCTCTGCCTTGAGAATCTTCCGCAGCAATGAGCAGTCGACGATTCCTGCCTTGAGATCTAATGAGCAATACAGTTTTGACTAATTATGTATGCATCTGACAAAAAATATGCAATTTCATATCCATTGCATTATGCATACTTCCATGCACTTGTTTACTGCTACAGTATCGCAGTGTATGCAGACTGAGCTTCCTTGGAGTTCTTTGCGAATGACCTGCAGGTTCATGCAGCAATGCATCGAACTGATACGCCAAATACTTGGAAGCGCTTAGACAAGGGCGTCTTCGAGGCCTTTCTCAGCCGCAGCTAGGAAAGCCTGAAGTTGGCACAGCTTCCTAATTTGCCCAGAACAATCCTCTGAGTCCAAAACATCAAGAAACTCAAAAAACATCCAAACACATTAAACGAATACAAATCTATGCATTAGACACCTCATAACATTTCTGCAATTCCGCTGCACCTTCTTCTGGTCATCCATGCAACCTCGAGGAACGAGACTCAAGGCGAGACCATGTCGTGTCAAAACAACCCTCTTCATATAGACCTCTGCAGCAAACTGTCTGGTTGTCGTGACTCCCCTCGTGAAAACAAAGTGGAAGATGTCGTCTTTCTGGGTGCCAGACTTATTGACAGCTGGAAGAAGGCATTAGCCAGCTCGTATTTTCTATTTTTTGTTTGATGCGTATTTGCATTTTGAAAAAAATGCGTGTGTCTGCGTTGAGTGGACGGTCTTGCAAAAGGTGCGAACATTGTCAACAAAAGACAAAGCTGTCAGTCTTTCATATCGCAAAAAGCCAGCTAGGGTTGTAAAAAAAGGTAATGTTAAAGGTTATGTTCAACATGTACTAATGAAATACTCACTGTAACTGTTACCCACACATCTGTGAAGGTCTCAATGACATCAAATATTTGCACTGAATTCAGCGTGCTGTTGAAGCCAAGAACAAACACCCAGGAAGCACACTGGCTTCGATCATTACATCATCATGTGTAACGATCATGCGGCAAGGGATAGGCATGCAGGCAGGCCCAGCAAAGAAGAAAAAAACAAATATGAACAAGCAACCAAGTCCTGGAAGCAGAAGCAGGCGGTGACACAAATTCAAAATGCTAGACTGCTAGAACATGCAATGGACAAATGATAGGATAAACAGCCAAGCACAACACCTCACATTGAAGCACAAGAAGGCAGTCTCAAGGCACACACACACAAGCAAAAGGAATATAAGCAGTTCGCACCAACAGGAAACAATCCACCTGACAAAACCGAAGCTGGCCCGTCCAACCCCACCCAAGCAACCACATCTATTATGATTATTATGTAGCACCCCAACAACCTAGCAAACCCAACCACCTTGACCAAGTCTGTGCTTTCTGTGCACTTGCACCTGAGGGCTCAAAGCTACGAGTAGAGAGGCTAACGGTGCCTACGGTGCCTACGGTGCCTACTCAGGACTTCTCCCTCACTGCTGAAACCTGCAAGGCACCCAGAGCATCAAATTTTCCACTCTCCCCCTAACAAGAATATGAAAAAACAGTTAATCAATCTGAACCAATTATATAAATAAAACATATTGTATCATATTGTCCCAATAGGTCGTAAGTTTTCTTCCAATACAAACGAATATTCTGCACCTGGTCGAGTGACTCCAGGAAGGCCACAGCAGATGCTTGTGAATCTTTCTGTAGACCTGCCCACCTGGACTCCAAGTATTTGAAGCTATTTGAAGTGTCCCTCACATCAGTAAAATTATGTAAAATTATATAAAATGTAAACCATATGTAAGCCATTGAAAGTCTAAAAATGTCTAACATAAATTAAAATAATGACATGTGACATGCTGATGACTTGCTGTTTGCCCATAATCAGCCAGGCCCACCATCTAAATATGCGAGACGTGACATCTGCCATGCCAGTCATCTTGCAACGAACAGTGCCATCCTGACACAAGGAACATACCAGTCGACATAGAGTATTCAATGAGTATTCAAACTGCCAAGTCCCGTGGTCACTTGGTACCTCTTCAAATCCCTTCAAGTTTCTGTCCTTTCCTCTTAAGTAACTTTGTACAGCATAAGCAGCATGTGATTCTGGTGTTTCATGATTATGATTATGTGACACAGTATCATATCACATCATATTGCTACGTTGCATGTCCTGTCTGGTTGAAGCTCCGCAACCAAACTACATGCAAAGAGATGTGCGTACCTCGCTGGGGAACATCTCTACCTTGGAGCTGTTCAAAATCTGCTGACAGGGCGACCCAGTAGAATCTGACATGCCAAAGAACACGCAGAAATTGCCCTTTGATCTGTTCGAGTTCTGTTCTGCTGTGCTCTTTGTAAAATCATGTGAAATCAGCATTGAATGATGATGAACTAGGATGCCAAACTTCGGAGATCTCGGTGTTCTCAAGGAAGGGGTAGCCTAGACCTCCCTGCACAGTCAGTATGGTTGCAGTCAAACCACAATTCTTGAGATGCTCTCGAGACACTCTCAAACTACGAGTAACATCGAGGAACTACTTTGACATACTTTAGCAAACTCCGCCTCAATAGTCCGCATCACCAAAAGGAAAGGCCCCTCGACAGGCTCCTTTGCACGGAGATCTCAGAGCTTCGACTGGAAAAGCATCTTTGGATAACTTTGGTTCAAAATGTTCAAAGATTTCAAAAAGATTCAAAAAGCAGCCGTCCTCGATCTGGGAGCATTCTCGCAGGCAAAAGACTCTGCCAGCCTGACCGTATCTGACCGCACAAATTGTCAGAAACCATCACATCATGCTGCTGAGAAAGAGACAGCGAGACAGTACCTACCTGCGGCCCACTATCAGCTTTGTGTCTAAGAAGCATTCCATGACCTGTGGCAGGACTGCTCGACCACTTGTTGAACTCAAAACATATCAAAACTCGTGCTCTCGACACTCCCCCTGTAGCGTTTTGCGTTTTCTTTCATCCTCGCTCATGTTCTCTCTCTTCCTCGCTCGCATCTCGGAAGCAGGCCTTTTCTGAGCGGCCCAAGCCTTACAGTTCAGACTGGTTAGCCGTTGCTACAGTCTCAATGCAGTCTGGTGTGCGTCTCAACTTGAACTGTCAAATATGCTTGCTGCAAATAATCATGACATACCAGTACCGTGACCATCAACTCTGTCAAAAACTTGTGGAGTAATTGTATAATTTCAGGATTAAAGGCCTAAATTAGCTCGCATGGCTCTGGGGCTCCTGCTCGATTGGCTCACATCTTTTTTTGGGAGTTTCAAAGGCATTTTCTCCAAAATGCGGGTCGGAGTTTTCATGGCTTTCCTCCTTCGCTTTCGAGATTTCCTCTGCTTCGTTTGCCTCCTGAACAGCATTTAGAACTTGGCGTACATCGAAAGAATTCAACGGATGCTGAATTTGCAGGAATTTGAAGGAAACATCAAAACAAACATCTAAGAAACATGGAGAACAAGGATGAACGAGGGGACAAGAGGGACAAGAGCAGCGTGGCACGTTGCCTTGTCGGGAGTGGTGGGCGGGTCGTGCATGTTGGACACCAGGCTGATGTCCGCTGTCTGTAAGACCTCAAACGGCACTTTTAACATCTTTTAACTCATTGGTGTCGCATGGTGTCGCCGCATTTTTTTCGGGATTTGGATAGTGCCAGTGGTTCATCTTTGCTTGCGCTGAAACTGATCAATGGCAGAGAGACTGAGCAATGCACTGGATGATCCTTGGACCTTTTACTACCGAACGCCATGCAGATTCGTACAACTTGCAGAGTTTATGTGCAAATGTGGCGATGGTGAGGCAACTGCCATTTGGATGGATCGGCCAGCTGCGCCCATAGTTCTTCACCTGGGGAAAAAATAACATGTCAAGGTCTTGAGAAACTCCAAAGCACTCTGAGCATTCCTGACTGGTTCAAGTGTGAAATCAAACGTGAAGTAACGTTAAACTCTCCAGATCTCTCCAGAACTCGGAGAGTGACGTGAAACACCTTTGAAAAAGCGTTCAGCCCGCCACACCTCAGTCATTCAGGCTGTAGGCAGCTTTGGCCCCTCCAAGTTTGACAGAATCTGACAGATCTACTGCGACCAGGGCCACCGACCACCTTTGCTGGTCCGAACTTCTTGTACATCAGATGGTCAATGATGTACACAGTCATGACCTGAATTCGTTGCACAAAAACACGCAAGAACGAAACCTGACATTCATTTCCTCTTGAGAGCCCAGCAGCGAAAACAAACACGCACCACCAAAATAGCAAAAACTTGAAGACCTCAGATGGATTGATGGATCAGAATCTGGAGGCCGCTTGCCACTGAGGATTCTTGGAGCATGTTGCTTGACACTGTTTTTTTGCTTTACTCGTCAACCCTCCCGCCTGCTTCAATGCTCTTTTGGCCCTTGCTTCCTCTTCTCTCCTAATCCTCTTCCTCTTCGGTTTGATCTTTCTTCTTCCAGTTGTGTTTTTTCTTTCTCTCTCTTTCCCTCTCTCTCTCTCTCTTTCCAATTGTTTCCCGTTCTTTGTCCTCTCTCTTCTCTAAGCTAAGCCTAGCATTTCAGTTTCCAGCCAAAGCAAAGTTCTGGCTTTCAGCTCACAGCTCCTATACAGCAACTGCTCCAATATCGCTTGTGCTGTGGTTGCTGTATTTCTTTTACAGTTGAGGAGTAGGATTCAGGCCATCGGATAGGCTTCCAAAAATTTGCTCTTCTTTTTGCCCTGCCAAGCTGCCAAACTCTTGCAGAATTTCAGAGTTCTACCAGATCTACCAGAGAACTCGAGAGCTCTGGAGACAGAAAACATGGCAAAGGTGCTCCATAGGCAGCAGCAGATGAAAGCTGCAGCCTCGGCTGACATGTTTCATTGAACATATTGAACAACTGAACAAATAAATACAAATAAACTCTAAGTGTGAATATGCAGCGAGCTGTGTGCTCTCAAGCGAGCCCGGAGTACAGGAAAAACAACGCTATCAGCGCCTGAAAGGTTGTGGCAATCTGTGGCATCAATTGCAAACTGCACCCTCTATCTCACTCTCTCGCTAGTCACTTGAGCGTCTCTCTTCGTGGCTTGCAAGTGTGAGCAGTGCCTTCTTGTGATTGTACGTTCCGAAGCCGGCCATTGCGGGAATTGTGGTTCAGGGCTTTCCTATCTGTGCATGCAGATAGTGCCAAAGACTAGTAGACTTGCATGATCTTGCATGCTTGAACCTGACGTGAGAAACTCCGCGTCAGTCGCCTCCATGAGGATGTTGCCCTACGCAAAGCTGCAGGATCTTTTCTTAGATTTTCTTATATAGTACATCTCAGTAATTCTCAGTAAAATTTAATGGGCAACTGTTTTTACTCAAATTAATTGACAAGAGTTGACCTGTAGAGGCTCTATGTCACTGCTGAAGCTGCAGAGGAGGGATGGGCTCTTTCAGAATCATCAAGTATCAAACGTATCAAGCTTTGCAAAGAGTCTGCTTGAATGTCCCCATCCCCTGCAAGTAAAGTGTGAGTGCAGCATCAGAGCATGCTTTTTTGCAGGGATCTCCCAGAATGTCCAGTTTTCCGAGACTGCAAATACTGCACAGTCTGCAAAGAAATGTAATTACAAATTCAGAAGTGCTTGAGCAAATTAAATCAAATTAAGGCGTCTTGCCAATGCGTAAAAAATCAAGGGATGCGCGGACGACCGCTGAGAAAGGCTATCAAGGCTGATCCTGATCGCGTGTGGCTGCCAAGTTCTGCCGCAAGCCGTCCTGGCTGAATCAACATGTAATCTCAAAATATCTCAAAGTTCCACATTTGCCAAGAATCAGCAACATTCGGCACCTATTGCAAGTTCTGAATTCTCAATAGCAGCGATTTGGAATGTGCACCTGAAGGGCATTTCAACGCAACTGCAACCCAACCCTTTTCCGCATGGCTTGAATCAATCGCGCTAGTCCCAGCTGGCGGTAATTCTCAGAGTGTCAGTACTGTGGCTTGGAGAGTGTCCAGAGTGTCCAGGCTTTAGGTCCTGGAAGACTGTTCCAACATGCGAAGACATGCAAAGTATCAATGGCTTTATTGGAGAATATTGGAGACTTGCCTAGACCGCCAAGGCCATGCCGTTGGTGACAAGAGTTCTGGGGCAAACTTTGCGCAGGCTGTCCTCTGAGCCAGAGATCCTCTCAGATCATGGTCGACTTGCCCACTGGAAATGCCGTGTCCAGTCTTAAAAATCAAAGAATATAATAGAAAAAATCAGAAAATACGTGGAACAATATGGAAAAGATAAGTTGTAGCTGCCATGGTGCCTGCTTCTGGGCGCGAAGGCAGCGCTCGCCTTCAACATCAAGCTCTGTGAAAGGATTATCATCATGGATTATCATGGATTGTCTATCCTAAATTCCTAAATCATCTAGATCTAATCCTTTGGATCTGGCCTGGGACTGTCGCCACAGAGATAGAAATTCCTCTGGAGGGAGGTCCTCAAAAGTCTGTGAAACAACTTGGGTTTCATAATTGTGAAAGATCTTCAAAATACATGTTTAATATTGTTTAACAAGTGTTTCTCTATGTTTCTCTTTCATAAATGTTCGATTTACAAACTTTCAGGGAAACTGAGCCCAGCTCCCATGGGGCTTGCCTTGCGAACTGAAAGTCTTGACCATCTCAATGCCCTTTGGATCCCAGTAAATTGTGGTAAAACCTTTTGAAGTGCTTCTTGAACTGTTTTGAAGTTGCATCGCTGATATTCGATGTAACATCGATAATAAAGCTAGAACATGTGCAAGATCGTCCAAGCATTTCACAGTTGTTCATTGAAAATGAGCTGAGAGCAATACTGTTCAAGCACCTGCGACGAAATCGTAGGCAAAGGTCCAAAACTGCAACTGTCGGAATGTGCAACGTTTCAGTTTCTATTGAGAAACCCTGCTGCCAAAACACGGTCAATAGATTGATAGGTTAGATCCTTAGACGGGACTTAACCGCAGCCAGCTCGAAACCAACGGCTGGAACGCTTGCGGCGAATGGATCAGAAGAACCAGCTTGCTCTTTTTTGGTTGGCAAGAAAAGGCAAAAATCTCAAGTGTCTCAACTATACAAGGAGTATGATGTATTGAAGGTGCTCCTTGACACCTACAGTGACCTAGAAGACAACAATAGAAATGAGTTTGTCAAACGATTTTCAGAATTGAGTATTGCATATCATATTGCTACTCTTCTGCTGGAATTATCGTATGTGACACCGGAAGCAGCACCAATTTTGGACCAAATGTCAATGCTTGGTGCAAGGTGCGTGCCTTTGGGCGAGTAGGCACTCCTGCACCTTGAATTGTTGGAGCCATCGCAGAGTCCTTTCGCGAGAAACCAAAAAAAGGTTTTCGCTTCACCAGGAACATAAGAAAGAGTTCATAATAAGAAAATATAAGAAATCAACAAGCTGACATTTGTTGTCCATCACAGTACGCCGGGAAGGGACTGGATCTGAAGGATGAATCGATTGAAAAGGAGTGGACCTCGGCTTTGCTCGGATTTGCTCAGCTTTGCTTCTCACAGGAAGTTCGTCTTTCAAGGAAACAACCAACATGACAGTGAGTTTTTTGTCCCCACCTACCAAGTGAGGGTCTCTAGATTTTGTCGGAGTTGCTTCCTTCTCCTTCTTCTCCTCCTTCTTCTCCTCTTCTGAAAGAATGTCAGGATAGATGCCAGAAAGAATGTCAGATAGAATGTCAGAATATATCTCCACTATATACTTCCAGGTGGTATGTCAGAAACGATGTCAGAATATGTCAGAATAATGTTTCAGGGTGGGTATCACTCGAAGAAAGTCATTTTTTGGAAAGGGTATAGACGGTATAGAAGCCATCTCATGTCTCCCGTGTTGTTTTTTTCATTTCTTTCCACAGTCCTCTTGCCCTATGACAGCCAGATACCTACATCCAAGCACCCTGTAGCTACACTCGTTGAGTAAGGCTTGACCAGGGTGTGATGCGTTTTCTCACCGCCCTGCAAGTGTTCAAAAGTGCAAACTGAAAAAAAAAAAGACCTTTGAACAACTTCTAAGCGTCTGGCTCGGTGCTCACGCGGCAAACCGATGCCGAGCCATCCTCGAAGCCTCCAAGTTGCATGTGAGGCCTCACAGCTGAAAAGGCCATGAAAAGTGGAGGGCTCAGATCTGAGATGAGTCTACCAAAAAACAAAGCATGAAAGAATACCAGATTGTTTTGGCTCAATGCATTTTAAATAAAATAAGACTAAAGTGACTAAAGTACATCCACATCAAATCATTGTGAAGAGATGTGAAGAGTGCAGTGGTTCACAGTAGATATAGCCGCTTCAAGGATCTCAAAGGCCTCTCTGGAACTTTGCCAGGAGATCTCATACGGGCAACCGGTTCCACGGCTGATGCTTTGGGCGACCTGCAGTACAGATCGCACATTTGCAGCCGCATGTCGCAGATTGCCACAGTCAACATATCAATACATATCAGCAAATGTCCTCGGAACATAATATCTGGATCTGGATATATCTGGAGACTTTCAAAAGCCTGAGGATCTCGCGGTGGAATGGGACCTGCACTGCCACTCCCTGGAAGCGAAGGCAATCGCGGAGCAGAACTCAGTGCTGTTTGCACTGGTTCAGGCCTGGTCTGCGGAAGAAGCGTTTTTCCATAGGGAATGGTGAGGGAATAGTGCAGGAGCTGTATCATCGGTACATTTCCGTAACATGTCGTACCTGTACCTACGGTAGCAACAATGTCATGAGCCTCGCTCTCTCCACCTCGCTCAAGGACTTTCGCCTCAGCGGAAAGCAAGAAGATGCGGACCGAATCGCAAAAGCGCGATTGAGAGCAACTTCTTGGTCCAGCTGGTTCATGTTTCCATGTAATCTATTTCCCAGTGCTGGGTAGAGCTTTTCCAGACATCACGATGGAACATGCTAGAACTATTGGACTATGATAGTTCAAGACAACCTTAAGACACGCTTATACAGTTACATCTTAAGTCATCTTAAGTCATCTTACGTAATCTTCTACATCCTTACAAATCCATGACATACTAACATATTGATTAATCATATTTGATTATTGTGCATGCGTGTTCTATATTCTGTCGTGCAACAAAAATGATTCGGTTCCCCCAAGCTGAAGACTGAGCTCTGCACAAGTGCTCAATGCTGTGATCCTTTGTGGAAACTGCCTTGGATGATCGACTCTTGACGTCCAATTCTGAATTGAAGATGATTCATACTTCATGATGCAGCAATCTTTAACATTCTCTAACAGCATGCCACAAAGAGCCCCACGTCCATGGCTTCCGTCAACTGCAACCTTTCGTTGACTCGCTGACAAACAATGTAAATCGATCCAAATTTACCACCCTGCCCCTTTTTGGGAGGTGAGGTCCACCGATAATCATGCTGAGTCATGCTGAATGCTTACTTGAGGGGGTAGTTGCGTTTCAACACCTGCTTGTCTTTCTCTGTACTCACAAGAAGCAAATTTTCAAGCAAACACCCGCAAAAAAAAATGTCTCTGGAGATCCATGACGACCATGCCGAAGTCACAGAAATTCAAAACCCAAATCTTGGCATATTGAAGCGTTCAGATTCTCTGATTCCCTCTATTGATATCTCAGGGTATAGTGTTTCTTTCGAGCAACTCCAGCTTCAACTTTGAAATTAAGAAATGGACGCAAGTGCGCTCTTTTCTCGCTGCTCGTTGGCCTAAGCAAAGAAAATCAACAACACTGTGGAAAGTAAGACCTACTGTACTGAATTCCCCCCCTGTCTAACTTGTAAATAAAAATAAGATAATATAGGATTAGGAAAACACATACTGCAAAGGCTCTTTGTGAATCTTGGCTGAGACCTAGGCCAGGATTTGCCTGTGAGAAAGATGTTCTGCTTGCAGGAGTTCAGTGAAGCGTGCTTCAGCTGCCTGGATGAAACATGATGAAACTTTCCAAGATGTTCCAAGCAAATGCCACGGAGGTGGCAAAAGTAGGGACTGACGGTAAATCTCGATAAACATTCAAGGGTGATACGCAGTGCAAACAAGCTTGCTGCTCAGATTTTGCCTCCAAACATGACTCAAGGACTCCTCAAGGACTCAAAAGAATTCAAAAAGACCCCTCAAAGACCCAAAGCTGGAAAAATGAATTGGTCCAGTCGCACAAGGCAGGCCTTGTGCGAAGCCATGTGGACACTCCCGATAGATGATTTGACTTCCAACATTGCCGTCTCAGTATGTTCCCGCAGGAGTTGCAGCCTCAGTTCACTTGGCATTTATTCCCCCTGGGTCAGGCAGCACAATTTATCAAGACTTACGACTCATGACATGTCACGACGGCCTTCGCATGCTGGCAACGTGCAGACGTGCAGCTGAAACAAGTCTTCTATGAGCAAAACATGTCGGGTCGGCTCTCGGTCTCTCTGCCGGTCGCGCAAGGACATTAGCTCTGAAAGCTGTTTGACCTTGGTGTGAAAAGGAGGACCAATACACCTGAATCGCGCATCAAATGCAAAACAGTTGCTATCCTCATCGCAATCCGGCGTAGGAAAACATGAAAAGCGCCGTTTGGATATGTTTGGATGAGGTCTGCGTGTGTATCTTTGTTTTTGGCAAGAGTTGGAAGGCGATGTTCAGGGAAAACTTATATATCTTCAAGATATATATATATATATTATAATTATATATACACATGCAATAGCAATTGAGATAACATGTGTGTTTGCATATGTTTGCATCCACTAATGGCGGCAGAGCTTTGAAACACTATGAAGTGGTTGCTTGCCACAGGCCAGAATCATTGCAACGAGATTAGAAATCCCAGAAACCCCAGCGCTCAGTCATGGCTCAGTGGTTGTTCCGGGACTAAAGTTTCTAGTTCCGCATGATGCAATCACTGGAACTTGCAAGGAAAAAGACTTTGAATGTACCAGTTAGATCCAGTTAGTATCTGTTAGTAGCACTGCCGTGAAGGCGTCAGTCGATTCAGGACCTACATAAGCAAGACCGCCTACATGCAGCATCACTCAACCACGTCTTTGGGGTGGAGTTCTAGAATTAGGTTGCATTGCCTTGAACGAACTCGATCACATCTCTTATTGTAAGAGTTGTGGTTCCAACACTGGCAGATACTGGTAGTCTGTTCTTGTCATTGTGAAAAACATGTGCTTCCTGTTGGCCTGAGAAGCCGCAAGAGAGGTGTTGTTGACAGACCGTAGCGAAATAATTTAAATATGAAGAAGATTTAAGAAGGGCAACAAGGAAAAACAAGGAAAAATAAGAGATGAAATGCGTAAATGCGAAAGTCAAAAATATCAAGAGATACGGAGGGGAGGGGCACACAGGGATGAAGTGAACCTGCTAAGATCCGAGCATTGTGATTCTGCTGCTCGGCAAGCTCGCTGAAGACACTTTCTTTGCTGCGAGTAATTTCCTGTCAATTGAAGGCGACTGCAGCTATATGAGCCCAAAAGAGCCAAAAAGAGCCTAAAAGAGACTTTGCAACTACCTTAAATACTACCGGTATGTCTTTGGACCGCGTCCTCTCTCAGATTGTGCCAGTTTCGCTCATCAGCAGCTTTGAAATCCTTCGTGGCAGGCTGGATTCATGAGGAGAGGAAGGCAACCGCACGCATCACAAACACATCCTGACTTCGTGACACATGTCTTGACACATGGCTCACATCATGTCCGGGCTGTCTGGGATCTCTTCATACTATGCACCTTGAATTTCTCCACGAGGAGCTCTTCCACCGATCTTCGCCATTCGGCAGCGTCATTGGCTGCCTTTGCAACCACAATTGCAAAATGGAGTCAACACCCTTTTCTTTAGAGGTTGGAGAAAAGTGCAAACAAGTGCAACATCGGTTGTTTTTGACTCAAATAAGCTGCAAGAAGTGACAGAATCAAACACACTTTGGAGTGTTGTGTGCGCATGTCCTTGCAATCGAGTGGCGAGAATGGCTCCCTTGGCTTCTTGCTTCTGTGCTTGAGCAGCTTGGCCTTGGAAACTATTAGACCCTGCCTGCTTAGGAAACAAAACATGAAAAACATGTTAAAACATAACATAAAGACACAACATAATGAATAGATAGGAATATATAATGTGAAAAGAGATGCGTGGAATCTTTTGAAAAGGTTTGCAAACGGCAATTGGCTTCTAAAAGGCAAAAGATGCAAAAGACAGGAAAGCACACAGGTGACTCTGAGCGAAATACCCTTGGCTTGCTGCAGTTCTTGGCGCAGTTGCGAGAGCTCCTGTAGATATTTTGACGTAGCCTCTGACAATATCTATCAATATCTGACAATCAGAATTGACGGAATCTATCGATGCACACCGTCAAAGCGAGAAGAAGTTTGCTTTAGAGCCTCCTTGAAAGTATCCTGAGCGCTTTGTGATCATTCAATTCAGCATCCATTCCCTTTGCCTGCAAAAAGGAATGTAGATGGTTGCCAAGCCTCAAAATCCAGAGTGCAAGAGTGCAAGAGTGCAAGACTGGCTAAACAGACATACTGAATGAGGTGATTGTCTGTCCTATCGTGTCTATCGTGTCCAAAGGGGCATGGTCACAAAAGTGTGACTGCATATATTTGTACGTATTTGTGTATACTGGCTGCATGTCTGGTAAAATGTGAGCAACATTGAGAGCTTTGTTCTCCCTTTAGAGTAGTTTGCAGAGACATGAGTTTCAAGCTCTTTTGGCTCGTGCCCTCGCAGCTTCTGCGAAGACCCAGCCTAGCACATGGCTCATCGCACGCAGCACACAGACCCGATCTTAAGACTACAAGCTGGGCCAACCAAGACCAGTACTGACCAGTACTGACCCGCGTCGTCATCCGTGTCATAGTGTCATCCAGTGTCAATGCGTCTCTGAGTTGGCAGGCCAATGTTCGAACAGCGCGTCCGGCACGCTGTCCTGGCAGGAGCTGATGCGTTATGTCTGGAATATTCATGAAATTTCATGAATATTCTGCAACCACAGAACTGGCAAGGCAAAAGGCATTCCAAATGGGCCAGGACTGCCCCACAAACAGAGCCTTGAGAGATCTTAAGAGGTCCAGTGGAACAAATTCCAAATCTGCTTCACTATGCTTCACTCTGAGAGTGCTACTCTTCCCTGGTCCTGGCCAACCATTGCATCATTGCCTAAGTGAACATTCGGGGTTGCAGTACACTTTAGAACTGTGCAGCTGGTGTAGCCGTTTACAAGGGGACAAGACCAAACTACAGTAATATAGACTAATTAGATTACTAGGCCATCTACTTTATTCTACTTTTACATCTTTCACTTGCAGATGCTTCCAGCTTCCAGCAGGTGCTTTCAGAGGCCGCCACGGAGACACCTGGCATCTGTGGCATCGGCCTCAAGAGAAGTGCCATTTTGATCTACATCGTCAGCCAAATGTCTTCTCCAATAATATTAAACCGACACCTTGTTTGCAGATGTTTGCAGTATGAGTTTGACTTGCCTCTGACTCTAATGCATCATGATTGTGGAAATTGCCAAACCCACAACTCAAGCGTTTGCCTGCCTGGAAGCATCAACAAGTTGCTGCAGCTCCAGCAAGGCCTGTTCCAAAAGGAATGAGAAACACGGCATGATGGCCACAAGCAGACACGAATGCCAAACCTCTTAAAAGTTTGAGAACAGCGCCTAGAAGGCACAAATAATAAGATATGCAATTCAAATCTAATACTTTTTGGGGAAGAGTGTCCAAAGGTGAAAACCTTGCACAAGACAGCCCGAGGCTACCTTTACAGGACAATTTCTCGCCCAAACATGACTTGAGGCCAAAAGGAAGGGGACGAAAGCTAATCAGGCAATGAGGCTGCGCATGAAAAGCACACGTGGCATGCCCCTTGTTGTCCGGCCAATAATGAGAAAAAACTGGGGGGAAAAAAAACATGATAATGTGCGAAGTGGTTCAACTGAAACTTATTCGGTTGAGGCACTTTGCGGTCAAGGGGCTTTGGTTTACAATGGCGATGTCAAGGTTCTGCTTACAAAACGGGTTAGCACCCAAGCTCTGCTTGCAAAACGGTCTGCCAACCAAGTTCTAGTTACAACACGGTTTAGCAAGCAAGTTTTGCTTACCAAACAGATGTGGTAATCAAATGTGGTAACCAAGTTCTTCTTACAAAGCGGTGGAGGGGTTATGCACCCCCTGTTTGTACTTTATGCACCCCCTGTTTATACTACAGAATGGGGCGCCTACCCAGTGTCTACAAAATGTGTCTGGGAATGGATAGTACGGCTTTCACACTTGTTTTTCCAGCAACCAAATCCTTACTACAAAAGGATACAAAAGGGTTCAGCACATAAGTTCTGCTTACAAGACTCTCTGGCAACCAAATTCTACTTACAAAACGGTTTAGCACCCAAGCTCTACAAAACGGTCTGGCAACCAAGTTCTTCTTACAAACGGTGCAGGGGTTATGCCATATGCAGCATTATGCACCCCTTGTTTATGCTACAAAATGAGATGCATACCCCCTGTGTCTACAAAATGGGTGTGGGATAGATAGCATGGCTTCCAAAGTTGTTCTTCCGGCAACCAAGTCCTTATTACAAAAGGATACAAAAGGGTTCGGTACATAAGTTCTGCTTACAAAACTCCCTGGCAACCAAGTTCTACTTACAAAACGGTTTAGCATTACACTACATTGCATTACTCTACATTGCATTACACCAGAGTAGATTACACTACATTAGGTTACGTTACATTAGATTAGGTAGCATCACATAGATTGAATGACATTACATTGCGTTACCTTGCATTACATTCACACACTCCCGGTGAAATTCATCTTGTGTAGTACAAGTACATATATCATATATCTGTGTCTGTGCGCGTGCGTGGACTTGCAAACGCGTCAAAAAAAAACGTAGTTTTAAACCACGATTTGATTTGTTCAGGCAGCACGTATTTAAGGAATTTAAGAATTTTACGGAATTTTCATGAATTTTCAGGACATTTAAGGGATTTTAGAGAATCTTGATGAATTTGCAGGAATTCTAAGGAATTTTAAGGAATCCTGAGTAATTCTCAGAAATTCTAAGGAATTTTAAGCCTTCTAACGAATTTTTGATGCCTTCAAATTCTTTAAAATTCCTGAAAATTCCCTACGATTCTTTGAAATTCACAAAAATTGCTTCGGGTTCCTTTAAATTCTTGAAAGTTCCTTCAAATTCCTTACATTTCCCTAAAATTCCGTTTTTTTTTTAATTCCTTAAAATTTCAAATTCCTTCAAGTTCCCTTAAATACCCTCAAATTTGTTCAAATTCTTTAAATGTCCTTAAAATTCTTGAAAATGCCTAAAAGTTCTTTACATTGTTTAAATTTCCTTGAAATGTTTGAAAATTCCGCAAGATTCCTATAAGTTCCCAGAAACTCCCAAAGGCGCCCAGAAAGCTTTCAGAAGGCTCCCAAAAGCTACTGAGAAGCTGCAAGGCAGCCCAAAAAAGGCCCAGGGTCAGGATTTGGCGCTGGCCCCTGTAAAACCAACATTTTTTAGTATTGACATCAGCTCCTCTTTGGTGCTTCAAATTTTGGATTCCTTCAAGCTCCTTTATATTCCTTCAAATGAATTGCCTAATTGAAAACGAATACATAAGTGGACTTTCTTTACATTTTAGTATTCCAAATTGAATGTCTTTAAATTTCCTAAAATTTGCTTTAAATTTCCTGAAAATTCCTTCAAATTCCTAAAGGTATCTAAAATTCCTTCAAAAACCTTTAGAATTCCAAAACCTGGTCCTTAACACAAAATTTTCGTCCTCAACACAAAATTTTCGTCCTCAACACCAACTTTCCGTCCTTAACACAAAATTTTCGTCCTTAACACAAAACTTTTGTCCTTAACACAAAAATTTCGTCCTTAACACATAACTTTCGTCCGTAACACAAAAATTAAAATTCTTTAAAATTCCTCAAAATTCCTGAGCAGTCCTTAACATTCGCTAAAATTCTTAAAAATTCCCTACTTGGAAACGAATACATACGTGGACTTTTCTTTCCATTTTAGTATTCCCAAATGAATTGGCTAATTGAAAACGAATATATACATAAGTGGACTTTTCTTTCCATTTGAGTATTCCCAAATGAATTGCCTAATTGAAAAGGAATACATAAGCGGACTTTTCTTTCCATTTTAGTACTCCCAAATGAATTGGCTAATTGAAAACGAATACATAAGTGGACTTTTGTTTCCATTTGAGTATTCCCAAATGAATTGCCTAATCGAAAAGGAATACATAAGCGGACTTTTCTTTCCATTTTAGCATTCCCAAATGAAATAATTGCCTACTTGAAAACGAATACAAAAGTGGATTTTTCTTGCCATTTGAGCATTCCCAAATGAACTGCCTAATTGAAAACGAATACATAAGTATACACATAAGTAGACTTGTCTTTCCATCTTAGTATTCCCAAATGAGTTGCCTAATTGAAAACGAATACATAGGTATACATAAGTAAATTTTTCTTTCCATTTTAGTATTCCCGAGTGAATTCCTTTAAATTTCCTAACACTTGTTTAAATTTCCTTAAAATTACTTCAAATTCCTAAAAAGTGTTTAACTTCCCTCAAAATTCCAAAAAATTGGTCCTTAACACAAAACTTTCGTCCTTAACACAAAGCTCTCGTCCTCAACACAAACTTTCCCCTTAACACAAAACTTTTGTCCTTAACACAAAACTAAGAATTCCTTAAATTTCTTTACAATTCCTTAAAATTCCTTCAAATTCCCTCAAATCTCTTCAATTTCCTGAAAATTTCTTAAAATTCCATCGAGATTCCTTAAAATTCCAAGAGCTGGTCCTTAACACAAAACTTTCGTCCTTTACACAAAATTTAAAAATTCCTCAAAATTCCTCAAGATTCCTTAAAAATTCCTCAAAAAGTCCTGAAAATTCCTTAAGATTCGTTAAAATTTCTTACCATTCCCTAATTGAAAACGAATACATGAATGGACTTTCTTTCCATTTTCGTATTCCCAAATGAAAGCCTGTGTTGTTGTAAAAAGTCTTTGAGTTTTTACAAAAGAACCTCAGATTTGGCTTTGAAATTCAAAGCAAAAGGTTATTTTTACTTGCTCACAATTTTTCTTTCTAACTTAAACTCTTAGGGTTTGCGTTTTGTTTTTGTGCCTCCATACAGCATTGCCCCAAAAAGCACCTTTACCAAAATGCGCACGGTCAGGGCTCTCAAATTACACCAACCCGTGCGTTTTAATAGAAAAATACCGGCTCCACCATGCTACCAAAATCCTAAGACCTGCAAGGTTCAAGGGTTCAAAGGGAATGAGTTGACGCTGTGATAAAGAAGCGGTGTTTTAATGATGTCACAAGTTGATGCCTGATAACTACGAAATGCTCATGGTGTCAAAAGATCGCGCCTTAATGGTGTCATAATGATGCCTCAGTGGTGTCAAAAAATGACGCCTTAACGGTGTCACAATGATGCCTCAGTGGTGTCAAGAAATTATGCCTTAATGGTGTCATAATGATGCCTCAGTGGTGTCAAATAAGTGATGCCTCAACGGTGTCACAAAAATGATGCCTTAATGGTGTCAAAGAAGTGATGCCTTAATGGTGTCAAAGAAGTGCTGCCTTAATGGTGTCACAAAATTGATGCCTTACTGGTGTCAAAAAAGTGATGCCTTAATGGCTTCACAACATTGATGCCGGGATGGTGTCATGCATTCATGAGGCTGTGACAGTGTCATGCAGCAGTGAAGATTAAGATACCCACCAAGTCCAGACCTCAGCGGCGCACGCTGTCAGGATGGAGTTTCCACCCCCTGGGCTTTACATGGGTATGGCCAAACAAAATCTTGGTTTTTGGGCCATGTTTCTTTGGGCTTGAAAGCTCCCAGGTTCAAAGGTAACAAACACCGGAAAGAACCATCCAATGTCTTCAATGGGTTTTCCAACTCTTACCATCTGAAATCAATGAAGCACATTTTGTCTCATAGTCTTGGGCCACATCTAAAACTATCCATACTGCTACTGATTGTTTATATAGTGAAGTGCCAAACCCCACAAAACATGTTTGTCCCTGGATGAAACAGTCATATGGGGTGCCATGGAAGTTTGAGGACACCATCTCTGGGATTCCCACATGAACAAATGTTTGACCTTATCATTGAAAGACACCATCGCAGCATGTGATCCATTGAGCGGCCCCACCATGACACCAGTAAACGACACCATCATGGCATCTTACCGTTTTGTTTTTGGCACCATCACGGCGCCAGTAAAAGACACCATCACGGCATCTTATCAATTTCATGGCGCCATCACGGCGCCAGAAAAAGACACCATCACGGCATCTTGCCCACTTTCTTGAGGCCCCGATTCCTGCCTGAACTTGGTGAAGCGCATGGAGTTGTGTTCCTTGGCCTTGGCCAGATGCAGCGTGGCGCCAGGGAACCCATGGGCAAGAACATGTATGGCGTCAAAAGGGTTGATGCTTGTAGACTCCACTCCACCCAACTGCTGGCAGGCTTTTTTTGGCCATCGAGCTTTCAATCCGATGGGAGTATGCTGGGGATGAAAGATGTTGAC